TATATATATATATATACTTGTATTACTCCCACATAAAAATTGGAAATTTTTTTAGAGAGATCAAGTGAAGTGAAATGCTTGCTTTTACCTCAGGAAAATTGTTGACCATCGAATTAACAATTTCTAATGCTGACACTCTACCAGGTTCAAGATGATATTCTAATTGACCAATGAAAAAAGACATAGGTTTTTGAAGTTGCTTGCCTAAAGGATAATCAAGCATGTATTGCATGCAAGCCTGAAAGAAATACAAGGTGTTTACTATTTAGATAAATATTTCAATAATTTTTCAAAATATTGTACAGTGAAGGAAAAAAGTTAACCATTTTGCCAAGCATATATTTGTTTAAAGTCGCATTTTGTTCACTTCTAATCTACTAATAATAAGTAATGTAAATAGAACTGAACATTTAAGCCATTGGAATTAATTTTAATAATAAGAATAAATCACACTTTCATCTATTGTCTTTTTTTTCCTACTGTTTGTGATTCATAAAAAGCATGAGAATAAAAAACATTTTTTAAATGCTGAAAAAAAAATTTTGCAAAGCTTTACGATAAATCTTTTAAGACTATTCAAGTTTAAAATTTTGTTAATTCGAGATTATTAATGAGTATTATGTATATTATATGATTTTGAAGAGGCGTTTACTGGAAAAAAATTCTAAAATAATTCACACTTAGAAATAAAACAAAAACGAATTTCTTATATGATGTAGTCTATTGTTTTAAAAGGCTAGATAAAAGTCTGCAAAACGTTAGCATGAATGTTCGATTTGAGAAGAAAAAAGTTAAATTAAGATTTTAGTGTTTTAATATCTGAATGTCAAAAAAAAAAGTAGCTCTCACCAGTCAAAACATGACTCGCAAGTCACAGGTTAGTTGTTGCTGCCAGAATATAAATAAAGAATTAAAAATTAAACTCTGTTAACAAAAAATAACCTTGATAATATTTTTTAAATAATATCAAAAGCTTTAATAAGACTGAGCAATATATCGTAAAGTATAGCAGCTTTCACGTCTCACAATGTAATGGAACTTTGACTTAAGCTACCAATGTAAGAAAATGCTTGGGATTTAACACTCATAGATCATTGCCTAAGCTGACAACGTGCACAATGGAGACTATTTTGATTCCGTCTATCTTCGAAGACAATGTTTCTGTTTTTGATGTTGAATGGCAAGGAGAGAATCGAATCAGAAGTCGCAGTTTTGTACATGGATCGGTGTCAGAATGAATACATTGTTTATTTTTAGACCTTTTTTTCCCCATGGGATTTTGCATTTCCTGATGATTATTTTCAGTGAGACTTTAATTACTTTGTAATCGCTATACATTATTTTGCCGGAACTTAATGTTCCTAGTAATCATTTTAGTGGGACTTTTATTTTGCAACAACCATGCATTATTTCGACACTTTTCTTTTGTCGGGGTTTAACATTTCTTATAGATTATTTTTAATGGGACTTCTGCTACTTTGCAATCGTTGTTTATTAGTCTTCATTGTTTTTTGTTTATTTCTACTTATTTATTTTTCAATTTTTTTAATGCTTATAATAGTTTGGTGGAAATTTATTACTTTTAAATCTTCAGACATTTTTATTTTCAAAAAATTAAAACTAAACTTACATTTACTTGTTATTCAGTCATTAGTCTATTAAACCTTAATATTTTAAATTTAAAAAAATTCCATTTTTTGAAAGCAGCTTATTTTTAAAATCTTTTAATGGTTAAGTGATTGAATCTCAAGCCGTTTTTGATTGGGGGAAAAAATTAAACAAACCTTACACTTGTTTTTACTTTTAGATTTCAGTTTAAGTCAATATATCTTTATTATTTTAATTTAAAAAAATGAAACAATGTTATTTATGTTAGAAAAGAATTTTTTATAATTAACATTTTCTTTTCTTATAAATTTATTTTCTTATTATTTATTTTAGATTGATTTAAAATTTCTGATAGAGTGGTTTTGATTCAAAAGAAACAATACATAGCTAAATCGCAGTGCCTAACAGACAATGTATCAGAATATAAAATTTCTTACATCCCCAGTCCTAATATTTAACTGTTTGTAGGTTATTTAAAGTTGTCTCAATGTCTGAAACCTGCCTCATAGGTAGGTGGTCATTGTTATCTCAACACATTTACGAAAAGCAAGTCGAATGAGCATATAAATACCTGACGACATTGTACTCGGATATGGTCTTGTTCTGCAGTGATGGCCATTTCTGCAATTTTACTCATTATACCCTTCAATCCAGGAGCAGCAAGTCTTTTGGACAAAATAGCCTTTAATACAGGAAGAATTAATATGCAGAAAAATATCAAATGAAGCACAAAATTATTAAAGAAAGCTGGAAAATGTTACCTACTTTTAAGAGAGAAAAGGCAGTGGCTTGTCTGGTGTAATCATAAATATCTTGTTCAATATAACTTAATAAAGACTGCAATTGTTCCTCACTCAGCTGGAAGTTTGAATCCCTCACAAGAGCAGTGAATAACTAGGGTTTAAAATATGCCGAATATACATAAGTGAAACAATTGTAGTCAAAGCAGTTAAATACTAACATTCATCTAACATATTTTAAAAACATTATTATACAAAATGGATCTCAAATACAAGGATATACATAAATCATATTTTGTCTTTGAAATAGTTTTCAAAAGAAAATAAGAAATTTGTAACCATTCCAAAAATTAATGGAAGAACAGATATAAATTTGGGAGGCATCTGCACCCGATGCTTGACGATTTTCTTTTCCTGCCAAGTTCGGTGATAGCTGATAATAATCTGGCTTGAGTTATAACGCAGTTATCACGGTTTTCATGACGTAAACACAAGTGGCATTTCTGCCCCAAGGAAATGACACTGACTAAAGTTAACACTGTTAGCGAAAAATCATGTACCTTCGATAACATTTTGAAGTCAATAGAGGAAATCCCTAAGAAAAGACCAACCTCCATTAATGACCATCTTAGTGTGGAAATGAGAGTGGGCACTCTCGAGAGGTTTCACTGCTCATGTTTTAAGCAAAAAATGACCGAAACACACATGAACTTCTAATTTATTAGGGTTGCAATATTTGATTCTGCTTCCTGCATGTGACAAAAGCAGGGCCAATAAATAATGTGTCAAAAGCGATTGGAGAGAAAAAAAATCACCAAACAATAAGGGCAGATTGCATAACAAATCAGTTCCAAAAGTCAAAACAAAACTATGTAATTAATTTCAGAGGAGATGGATTTAAGTGATTCATATATTTAATCATTGTACTCATTTTTTAGTTTACTGTTTTTAATCATTTTTGTTTTTTATTTAATCATCGTAGTTATTTTTAAGTTTGTTGTTGTTGTTCTCATCCCCATGACCAGCAGAGCTAGATCAGGTCCATGAGCTCGTTCACTCTAAGAAAGTCTAGCACCAGCAGGGGAGCTTGAACCAGGTCCTGCCTGGTAAGTCCCTGACAAGATAAAATGTGGTCAGGGGAGGCCTGGGCAGCAGAACACTTAGTGCAGATTTCAAAGTGTTTATTACCATCATTTTTAAGTTTACTGCTTTTTGATGACAAATGAAAAGTTATTAAGCAATAACCCAAACAAAAAAAAATTAAAAACAGTCATAACAATTCTTATAATTACTCAAATTCAAAACACTTTATACGCCCTTTAAATCTAAAGAGACAGTCATTTCAATAGCGGACAAAATATTTTAATACTATAAATGTTTCATTTACCTTAAAACACATTACAATCATTTCAAAGTTTTCACCTTGTCCCATCCCCACAGCAGCATACTTATTGACTAAAATAAACAGAGATGCCACAATTTTTTTAGAGCAAGTTGTAAAAGATGGTAATGTGTATTTGAAGAGAGGGTTCAGGCAACGCAGTGCAGTTGTAATAATCTGTAATGAAAAACAAGCATGTAATTTAAATTTATACCAAAATGAGTAACACATACAAATTAAAGAAAAATTAACACTCACCTTTATGTGTTTGGATTCTAAGCAATCTGTCAAAATTGAAACAAAGGGATCCAGCATCTGTAGAATTTCCTTTTGATCTTTCTCAATTCTATCCTTCTTCAAGCAAAATTGGAAGAGCTAAAAAATATATAAATGGCACTTCAATACAAAGGTTTTAAATTTATTTTGACTGACGACAGTTAAAAAAATAACATGAAACAAAAAACACTCATGTTCTAAAGGTTTTATTTATGTACAAAAAACAATGTTTTCATAAAATAATTTTTTTATTTGAAAAAGAAAAAAAAAAAATACTGAGTACCATTAATTATGATTAAAAGGTAACATATTTGCATGTTTCATTCAATACTTTTATACAGCAAAGCTAATAACATTTTAAGATTAAAACTTGATCTTTGTTTAAAAATAAAAAAAATTTTACAAACCCGTAAAATTGACAAACTTTTTTTTTCTATAACAAACTCATTTTTGACAATAATTCTAAAATTTAACTAAATCTATTGAGTTGGTATATGGATTATGTATATTATACAGATTTCTATAATATATGTTTATTACAGAATGTAGATATAATGGATAATATTTATAAATTTCTCAAGAAAGCTTTTTTATTAGCGCTTATTGAAATCCACTGAGGTATTACTCGTTTTAATCAAGGTTGCATTCTTATTACCATCAACAGATTACATATTGCAGGTATTATACAATAGCAACAGTAGAGATGGATGACTTGTGCAAAAACATTTGATGCGTACAATAAAGATCAGACAACAAGGAGGTTTTTTAGAATTTATTAATACCAAGAAACTCTAATCCACAGTATAATAAATCTTAAAAATTAGCATCAATAAAGTATAATTAACAGACATCTGATTGAGGAAAGAAGAAATTATCTGAAATTTTTTTCAATGTATAGTTGTTTCTTTTAAGCACTTAATTTTTTAATTTTATTGTACATAGAAATTAAATAAAAGACTTTCAATTTAATGCATGAAATTAACATTTATAAAAGATTCAAAAGAAATTTTTTTATTTCATAAATTTTGTCTTAACAACACATAAAAGAATTTTCAAAAAAAAAAAAAAAAAAGGAATTGCATAATCCTCTTTTTTTTGCACTTTGCAAGTGGTCATCACATAAAAAAAAAACATTAACTAAGACATTTACCTGCAATCCAAATTCAACAAGAACGTGAGATGTAGTTCTTTCATTAACTTTAGCTGGAGGTCCACTTCTTCCAGGTTCTTTAGGGACCAAATATATATCTGGACGTTCATACTTCAAAGGGTTAGTGACTGGAATTTTCCTTAAATAAAAAGATGTATTCATATATTTATATTCAAGCTATGATAAAAATACAGTTACATAAATAACAGACCTTTCTAATAGAACCCTATTTTATTGAAGACAATAGCTTTAAAAAAAGTTCTTTGTTTCAGATTTTCCTTATTTGATTTTATAACTTGTATATGTTTATGTAGATATCATATCTATATTTTAGCATTTCAATAACATTTGAAAATTCAGAAAGCCAACTCTGACTATGATTTTAAGGATGTTATTTTATAGGGTTATGAAGTTCAGTAGCCATGCAAAATGCAACAGTTAAGAGTTCTACAACTTTTTATAAAGTATTGCAGCAAACAGACAACATTGGCAAAGGTAGAAAAAAAAATGGAATCTCATTAATAGTGATTTCAATAAATTTAAGAATTAATTTCCAGCAAAATAACTTACAGTAGAAGTTAATGCTGCTACCATTTTTATTTTTCATTATTTTTATATTTTATTGTTTCTGAAACAGTTTTTGTACCATTGCTTTAAAACGATTAAAAAGGAGAAAGAAAAAAGAGAAGAAACTAATCATTAAAATTAATTGCAGCTGAGATATTTATAAAAACATTTTATGGAATAGTTATTGACTATTAAGGTCAAACATTTTAAAAATTATTAAACACATCAACTTAGCTAAAATATATAATTGGTGATATTTTGCTTTGAATTAATAAAAAAAAATTACTCTGTACAAAACTTTGGCACATATTTCTTTTTAAACCATACTGAATATTTGAAGCTTTATCAAACAGATAATTTCCAAATCTCCTTTTTTTTTTTTAACTAACACTAAAAATGATTTTTTAGCAGTTTTTTTGCTAAAAACAATCATTACATATAGTTAAATGCTTTTAAAGTTTGATTAACACAAATTTTACAATAAGGATACTATAAATTTTTTCCCACAGCACTGAAGTGAAGCTTAAAGATGAATTATTATATTTAGCACAGCAAACTCCCTGTCTTGTCAGATAGTAAACAAATTAACGATAGAAAGTGAGCATTCAATGGTCACATTTAAAGTTTTCCTAAATATTTTGCTTACAGGGTTTTTCCTCTATATTTCAGAACATGCAAGTGAACAGAATGTACTATTATAGACCATCATTAATATTTTATATCAAATATACTTAGGTGAACCTAAAACATCAATACCTGCTTGATTGCCTGATGAAACTTGATGGTGTTTCTAATAATAAAATTTCCCCTCATCTCTGATTCTCCAGAAATCAAACAGATTTTGATTTTCACAGATCTACCCTCAAACCTAGCAATTTGCTTAAGTGTTTTTGTTTTTCCCACTCACTTGATTATTAATTCACAACCCCATTTTCAATAAGAATTACAAAAATATATATTGAAGGTAGGCTTTATGGAGCACTCAGTATATAACAAAAAAAAAATGCATTGAATAAATTTTTAAACAGAAGCAATGTCATTATGAAAAAGATGGAGGGAAAATGCTCATACTTCTTTTTGTTAAGTCCAGGAATTGATTCATTAATAATGGCATGAATGAACAAAAGTTGACCTTTGCTTGTCAGGCTACCATTTTCACTCAATCCAAGCGCGATGTGACGAAGGCACTCAGATACTTTTCTCATGATTTTATGACTGACTTTCTTGGAAAGGATCTACAACATCACATTAAAAGTTAAATGAAAACAAATAAACAAAGATATATTGAGTAAACAAAGCTAAAGAGAACTGATAAAAAGAGACATAACAGTTACATATTTTATTATATGGTATACAGATTTTTTTAAAAAGCAAAAATATTTTTTAAAGTTTGGAAGAAAGATTTTAAAAACTAAAGAACTTAAAATTTTAGCTAAATATTACACATGTTGAAAATCAAAACATAACTTTTTTAAGGAAAAATTTATTTGCTATTTAGTTTTTTTTAACTAATAAATGTTTAATAAATTGTAAGTAATTATTAAGTTTAATAAAAAATCAACTTAATAAGAAAATAAATTTATGCAAATAAAAAAATATTAGTTAACATTTTAATAAAGTTATATGATAGGTGAAAAAACACATAAAGGGAGCTAACATCCCATTAAAACTTCTTACAAGACAATGTTATCAATACAAAAGACAAAATTTCTGAAATACTTAATTTGCTATGAAAATACATTAAGAACTTGCATTAAGTTCTTAATTACATGCATGCATCATATTTAACTGAAACTTAATATTAATGGTCAGAAACTGCCAAGAAAATAACAATACACAGGTAAAAAACAAACTAAAATAGCAATTAAACAAAAAAAATATTTTAAAGTATTTGTTTAAAAAACTACATACAAAGGTTATGAAATTTTTTAACAAGTATATTTTAAAATTAAGATAAAATAAGGTGAATAAAAGTTAACATTAGAAAAAAAAAATATTTTAAATATCAGGCAATAAACAAGACTAGATACAAGAAAGTGTATATTATTTAAATAAAGAAATCAAATTTATATCAAAATAGACCAATTAAAGTACAAGAAATCAAAACTATTTTTATAACCACATCTTAAATGCTAATTGAACAAACACAGGAGAAACAAATGCTTACTTCTTTTAAAGGCACTATAAGCTCTAGAAGAATATTCTCTGATATATATTTGCTCAATATTTGAAATATTGAGTAGCTTTTAAAGCTACGAGCTTCTTTAAGTTTACCAGTTATTTTGGAGACTTCTTTCTCTTCTGCCATATCAGTGAAGAGTTCATTCATGCAAATCTACAAATTATTATTAATATAAAAATAAATAATAATCAACAAGAAGTATTTTAATGAAAAAAAAAATTTTTTTCAAAATATTACAAAAACATTTTATTAATGGAACAATAAGCAAAAAAAAATAATTGACACAGGAAATATTTGATAACTCAGAGCAGTAAAAACTGCTTATAATGAATAAACTTTTTAAAATTTATCATAGATACAGGAGCATTTAATTAGAAAAATCAAATTTCACGACATCGAAATATATAGCATATGAGTTGAGAAATATATTCAAGATTATACTGTTCATATTACATTATACTTTTACAAACTGTCAAATTTTGAGAAACATCATAAAATAACATTTAATTGATAGTAATGGTTATAACAGTAAACTGATATTAAATCTTATAACACTAATTATTAATGAACGAAAAACGACAACAAACATTCATTTCTAGAAATTGAATAATAAAAGTAAACTGATATTAAATCCTTTAACACTAATTATTAATGAACGAAAAACGACAACAAACATTCATTTCTAGAAATTGAATAATAAAAGTAAACTGATATTAAATCCTATAACACTAATTATTAATGAACGAAAAATGACAACAAACATTCATATCTAGAAATTGAATAATGACTAAACAAATTTTTTAAACATAATTTATGAATACAAAGAATACATTTTATCCAATAGTAATTATTGAATTTATCAGTTACCTCGGTTAAGTCTTTGACACAGGAATCTAAATCACTTGGTTTCATTTGATCAGCAATATTAGTAAGCACAGCATTGATGGTGAATGTCATGACATGCACCTATATAATGTATTTTTTTTTAAATTTATAAATAAAAAATTTTAAGGTCAAATTTTATAAAATACAAAACTCTGCTTGGAAATTTAAAAATATGTTTTATTTAGTATTCCTTGAACAATTTTATCATGACATGCATCGTTTCAATCACAGTTTAACAAATTAGGACTTAATATTTATTTGTCCACTGTTGTTTTCAACCATTTTATAATTATTATTTTTTTAAATATGTATATAATTATTTTAGTCTTCAGTTAAATTGGAAATAGCTCTTTCATCGCATAAGACTTTCAATACTTTACAATATTTATTTAATCTTAAATAATAACAGCCCTGAAGAAAAAAAAAACTTTTTGACATAACCTATCAACGCATTCAGTTGCCCTTTGATTTACGGTATTGCAGCACTGTTGAAAAGCCTGACAAACTACTATTATGCCTTATGAAGGTATAACAAATAAGCAAAGTTTATATATTTGTTCAACAGATATAGTATTCTGCGCATAAATATACATAAATATTTAAAATTGCATATAAATATAGAAAAATGTCATAACTGCCTACATTGGAGAAATAAAATAATGGAGATTTTACTAGCAACATTTTCTTAGGCTTCGAGTGAAGTTTTGATACATCATGAATGATCTTGTAAGTGAAAAAGAGAAATTCAAAACTGGAAATAATATAAGCACTAACATTTAGCGAAGTAAATAATATGTATATAAATCTTAATTATAATTTTTACTTCGTTACCATTGTTTATAATTACTTAACCTATAAACACTCAACATACTGCAGTACTGGCAATAGCACCATCACTTTAGGAATAAGAGTTGTATTTTAATTATCAGTGGACATTTTACCCCCAAATGTTTTTTTTTTTTGCTAAATTTTTTCAACAAATACAGAGAAATTTGAGAACATATGGGTAAACAGAAGACAGTCTCAAAATACAGGAGTCTTCGTCAAAAAAACAGGAGACTTGGCAGGTATGCAATGTTGCTTCAACCCAAATCTCAAGATAATTTTCACCATTTCTATGTATACTATTAACAAAAAATTTAATACCCTTTCCAATAAACTTTTTTCAGCAGTAACATACCTGATAACCTTTTGTCATAACACCTTTTATCTCCGATAACAAACATCTGAAATGCTGAGGTCCTAGAGACTGCATCATCTTTATTAAAGTTTCTCTAGTTGTTTCCCTGATGCTTTCAGTTCTTGACTTCAACAAACCACACATTTTGAGAAACAATCTAAACAAAATAATAACAACACTTAATTCTTTAATATCAAAAAAGCACTTGTAATAGATTGCAAGGCGATTCCCAAATATTTTTGCAGGCCAGCAAGATATATAAAAATAAATATATAAAGGTAAAGCTAATAGTACAAATATCAGAATTAAATTTTGATAAAAATAGATCTTGATTTTTTAAGATTCATATCAGCAGAGATGCCAACTTGCTCCGGACAGCAATTACATATTTCAAAGTGGTAGTTTATCAATTATGATTCTGGATTTAATAAATTCAATTTAGTAGATTTTTATCCACCACTATTTCTAAATATTTTGCTGGCTTATATAATTCACCACATTATAATACTTAAGTCACGGTATGCTTTCCAAAACGCAAGCAAAAATAGTAAATGTTTGCAAAATTTACTATGTAGTTATTTACCGTTTCTTTAATTATTTTGGCGCGTTCGGAGCAGTTGGCATCTCTGTATCAGGAGTAATTGTGACACAAAGTGAAAAAACCCTGAAAATTTTATGTGCAAAAAATTGATATCAAGATACTAATTTATATACTAAACATGTTTCTTATTTACCATAATTTTTTGAACAAACATTTATTAAATTACCTACTAAGAATATCACGCCTTTATAGTAACTAATTCAAGAAGAGACTTACTTCTTAGAAGAATATATGATATTCGATATGGTGTGAATAAAAATTGCTATATCGTGTGAATATAAATCGCGATATATGGCTTTAAAAACCTGTAAATACAAAACGCGATATTGGATGTTTAAATCATAGGAATTGTGATGCGTAGTTCTAAAATCACGCACAATTACGAAAACTAGATTTTGATATTACAACAGCGTGAATATCAAACGAGACACTGGATTTTTAAATCGAATGAATACTAATCGCAACACACAACTTTTAAATTAGGTAAATATGGAAATCGCTGTTTGATATTAAAATTGCTTAAATAAGAATCGCAATATTAACAGATTCCAGTGCAGGTCCAAATATTCAAAAATCAGCGAAAGAATCACATGTATTCACAGAAAAATAATGGGTCCGGAAGAATGATATAAAAACCCCAGAATACGATAACCTCTGTCACACATAAATAATTTAAATTTGTTACAGACGAAATCATAATTTTTAGTGCTAAGTTTACAAATATAAAAACAAACCTGTATTACTTAAATAGGATTCTATTAACAAAAAATTCGTTTAAAAAAATTAATATGATCCTTATCAATGGCTATGTATTAAGATATGCTGCAGCTTTTTTTCCCCTACTATTCATTTTGTTTGAATTTAAATAGAATCTATTCTTAGAAATAAAATTTTAAAAAATTTCTTTTTCCTACTTTAACAATAGATAAATTCAAAGAGAAATGTTGGCAAATCAGCTGATTAGATATTTTTTTCTTCACAATTTTGCTTTGTATGCATTTTTATAATCTTTTTTATTGCTTACTTAAAAAACAATAGTAAAGTTAAACAAAAAAATAGCCAAGTAAGCGAGTGTATCTATAGCCAACATATATGTCACTGAGGTGTGGTAGCTACATTTATGTTTAAGGCAAAAATATTGCATTTTAAAATTTATTACTCTTTATGAAATATCAAATAACTGAAACATACATATAGAAGATAAGAATTTTAAACTTGGCAAATATGCAAATGTTTCTATTTTACAATAATCAGTTCGTATAATCTTTCCCATTCATTGAATAATTTGATGTTACATACATCTTTTAGAAATAACTATAATTAGTAAATTGAAGCAAAATAATGATGCAAATAAATTACCCAGGAAGATTTCGTTCAAGTAGTCCAGTAGGAAGCTTTTGAAGTAATTTTACCATAGCAAGGGCTATAGGGACTCTTAAAATCTCATCATTTTCTGGATAATAGGGTGCACCAGCTAATTTATGTTCATCTTCTCTTTTATTCTACAAAAAATATTAGAAAGAAATAGTTATATTTTTGATCAAAAAATTGAATTTTTTTTTAAAGCTTTGCATATGTGTTTAAAAGCATGTGCGTTTATCAGCACAAATGAACAAATTTAATAAAAAAAAAAAAAAAAAAAACGACAAAGCAAAAATCTAGCTTCACTTTTGCTGTTTTGTTCACTTATTTTGACAAAGTTCATCAACACATGTTTATAGTTTTATTAAACTAATTAGGAAACTGGTAAGTATATATTTATAGAAATATATCAAATTTCCACAAAAAAGAACTAACAGCTGAAATAAAAAATTATTACTTCTCATTGCATTTATTGCATTTTTATTACTTTGAGACCTCCAGACATAGCAAATATGGCAAAATGCATAGCTGCCTACCTTAAGAATCAAAAATTAGGAACACTATATGCGACAAAATTATACGCACCAATCACGAGAGTAAGACAAAAATTTAACTATAAATAATAACATTAATAGAAATATCATTAAATTAGTAAAACAAAACAATAAACTCCCTCTTTTGTGTGAAATTTATATTATTAATATTATTTTATAATTAGGAATACCGGTATAATAGTTTAAAAACATCCATTACCCATTAGTATATAATTATTCTTCTCCAAATTATAAAACACAGGTAAATAATAGTCTACATCATAAACAAATATTTCTGATGCAAGTGTTTAAATACTACAATACATTTCTTAAAAAGTAATAATAATTGTTTAAGATTCAATTTAGTGAAATGATTAGCAACAGCTATTGGAATAGTATTTTCCAATAAAAAGCTACTAAAAATTACTTCTGCGAAATAATACCAGGAACCGCGCTTGAGGCGATCAGAACAAGGGATTGGTTTTAAAGTAAAAATACTGCAGTTTCATGAAAATTCAGATTTTTTTATAAACATATCAGATTTTCAGGTTTGATTTAAAAATTAGGAAAAAATCCGAAAAATTCTGAACAGTTGGCAGCTATGCAAAATGGTTGGGAATATTCCTGTTATACACTTACTCATTATTTTCTCTTAGAATAACATGGACAAAAACTGGCTTAATGTTGTGAGAAAACGCAAACAGCTTTAAGCCAAACATAATAGTTTTAAGCCTCAGAAAAAGACAGAACTAATAGTCAGAGGGTTAAACAAAACTAAAACATTAAAAAACATACATATTTCTTTATAAAATATACAATTGTGATTATTTAAATCTAATCTGTAATTAAATACCTTAATAGCAAAAAAAAATATTAATATAACAGTATTGAATAGTATAAAGCATTAATAAAAAATATATTAGAATGTATCATACCTTCTGCATTAAAGAGCGATGTAAGTGAGGCAAAATATTCTTCTTTATAGTACTGTGTATTTTATTAATGTTATTGGCAGCAACGAGTTGGCTTTCATTTTTGGTTTCAGTAAGAACATTGCCTTCACTAGACTTATTATCTGAAAAAGATTATTACTCATAATTAAAGAAAAAAATGCAAAAATTCAACATTGTTATTACAAAAAAAATCATTTAATACAAGTGAGTTATTCTTAAAATTATTTCCGTATAGCACCTACCCAAAAAAATTAGAAAGAAAGAAAAAAAAAACTTATAATACTACATATGAAAACGATATTAGACCTGCGAAAATCTATAGGCAAAACTTATACAATATAGGAACCTAAATCAGTTTTGGAAAGAAAACAAAAAGTAAGATTTGAAAAAAAAAAAAAAAAAAAAAAATTTCATATTAATCAAATCATATTTTTTATTTTTAAAATAAACTGGAAAAAATTAGACCTTTGAATTCTTAATGGGCTAAATATTTCACGGCCAAACTTTATTTTATTTATCCTATCCACATTTACCTAATTTTTGAATTATGTATTTAAATATGAATAAATTTGTGCTTAGTACTTTCTTTTACCAAACATTTTTAAACGTGCACCAAGGAAGACAAGCTTTATAAGTTGTAAAGAAAAATTCATAGAAAATGCATTTATTTAATCTAAAAAACATTACCAGCAATAATTTTGCTTTCATCACAGGGAGCAGTTCTTTCTTCAAGGGTGGCAGTGTTTGGCTTGGATAGATCAAAATGAAAAGCATTGAGTAGGGAAACTATAATTCTAAAGAAAGAAAAAGGTAATGATAATTAGATAAAATAAATTTGAATCATTCTAAAATACATAATTAAGCAAATTAATAAAACATGCATTTTAAAAATAAAAATTTAATGAATAAAATAAAAATAATAATGCTTAAAAATAAAAATATAAATAATACGTAAGATTTAAGTGGATTGAAATGCAGACAAAAGTAAAATTTAATCCAAAAGCTGCAAAGTTTTACTGGAAATATTTTCAATAACAATATTAATTGACAATATTCCACATTTTCAAACGGTTGTTACTTTTCTTCTTAACACCACTGCCCAGTTTGAGAACTTCCACTTTGTTTTCTAAGTAAAGTTAACGAATTTTGGTAGACTCTACATTTTGAAATTGTTTATTAAAAGGGTAGAAAATAGGTATCTGATCAGAACATTTACATGCCAAGATATGATCAGCAATAAAAAATTTTATCCCTGACAATTGCTATTCCTTAGTTACACTTTGACTCTCAAAACTAGACTTTGGCTAACCAAAAAATAAATAAATAAACTATAAAATTAAGGAATTAATAGTAGTTAAAATAGACTAATATTTTGATTATTCATGATTGAATTTTAAAGAAGTCAACTATGTATGTCACAGGTTAAATTAAAAAATGTGGCTCTTTGCAAACTGCTGAAAACACTTTGCAATGCACCTACATGATAATAAGCTTGACAAATGATGTCAGAAATCACCAAAAAGCTGGATTTTTCTAATCATCCTGCGACGAATACATATAAATTGGCTTGGGAAATTTTGAAGACACAATTTACACAAGAAAAATGTTTGTTTTTTAGTGAAAAATAACAAGTTACAGTGTTATGTGTCTAACCAAAGAACTGCTCATGAACTGAGTCTGATGCTTTCTCTTGCTCTAGAAACAAGACAAAATGCATTTTAAGGAGGGAGTTTTTCATACATTTCTTACCAACCCGAGGCAAAAGTTATTCTAAATATTTACCCCCACCCCCTACATGAAAATAACTACATAAGTTAATAACCAGCCACAAAAAAAGCTCTAGAACAGCAGATTCTAAAATAAGTTCATGTATCGGGGAACTCTAGAGTTTCGTGAAAGGGTTACAGAGGCTCAAAGAATTATAATCTTTTTTTTAACCAGCAATGATTTTTGAAACACGTAATTTTACTTGGATAAAATCAGTAATTAATAAGGAATATATAATAAAATCAGTAAGGAATAATATTAATAGAATGCCAGTGAAAAAGAAAGAAATAGCAAAACTTTATAATACAGATATGTAAGTATTTTTTTAAAACAATGTATTGAATAAATTATAAAAAGGATATGCATTTATACAAAATTACATTAATATTTACTGACTAGCTTTTCAATTCAATATAAAATAAATTCAACAATAAAGAAACATATGTTTATTGATGACCATCCTCTTCCATGTTAATAACATTTTTACTTTCATTTCAACAAAACCATAATTGAGCTGATCTTAAAATCACTTTCAGATCATTATTTAATGTTACTTTCACCTAATGGATACACAAAAACAAATTCAGTTGAATGTCATTCTAAACATGCAAATTCAATTGCTGGACATAAAACATAATTATTAGACTACACTTTTGCTAAAACAATGAAAACATTTCCTTCTTCACATTAAATATTTTTAATCTAATTAATAGTCTTATTAGTTAATACACTTACAATTGCTAATGAACATTATTTATTAAATAAGTGCTCCACCAAAAGAAGGTCATCATTTAGGATAATAATAATAATAATGATTAGGAACAAGACTGGTGAAAGGAGTCCTTTAAGTGGTTAGACACTAAGCCACTTATGATTTTAAAACAAATATGTCAGAAATTAAATCTTTTTTCTTCTTTCCTTTAAGATCTTTCTATTCTCTTGAGATCTTTTCTTTCCATTGAAAGCTGTGCCATGCATCAGAATTCATATTCTTGTAGTCTGTTATAGAAACTAAGGAACGTTTGGTGAATTTTTAGAAATTTTTTTCTTTTAAAGAGAGACACTATGTGATCTTTTGTTATTAAACAAAAATGGTATACTTCACATTTCTACTCATTTAAAATGCAAAAAATATTTTACTTGTGTTTATTTGTGCAAGAAACTACAATAAAAATTAAAACTTCAAGGAATCATTATAGTAAATAAAATATTAATTAAATTAATATATAAATTTCAAAAACATATTTAGTAGCTTCACTTTAAGTTATTTTACACTTTAATTGATTTTAACTTTCATTACTTTCTCTTCTCATTCAAACTATTTATTATCAGTAAGTATAATCAAACCAGTAAGTATAATCATTAACCAGTAAGTATAATCAAAACCTAATATTTATTTTTTATAAAAAACTTTTTTTTTAAAAATCAATTTTGAATAGCCTCTTAGTTAACAGTGTAGAATTTTTTATGACTATTAAATTGCTAATTTGATTAAAATTATTTTAAGTAAACAGTAACAAGAGATCCAAATATTTAATACAACTAATCCATATTAAATAAGATTTGCTTCAAGTAAGATTTGTCTATCATATAAGATAATCCTAAAAGATGGTAAATAAGTATAAGATACCAATTCATCCTTATAAATTTCACAGTAAGAAAATTAATTAAATTATTTATTTCATTACATGATTCAAGATACTTTAAAATTTAGAAACCAATCTGGTAGAATCTATAAGATACTTCAATCACTTTTGTATGCTTTGTAGATCCCCAGTTCTCAATTTTAGAATAACCAATTAAATATTTTGATGGAAAACAGAATATGCATTCACAGAAAAGTAGAATGTTTGATTTTATCTATATTAAATCAAATGAATGAAAGGAACAAAAAAATTTTGTAGTGATGACACTTTGTCATAGTTGACTTTTCTAAATTCACATAAAAAAACTTTATTAGTAAATTATCCCCAATTTCAAGAATTGCGGTACTGATCAAATATGCCTCCAAAACCTAATGTATTATATCGACATGAACACTGAGGAGAGAAGTTTAAGTGAAAAGTTAGACGCAACTGCAATTTTAACATAATAAATTTTTTTAAACTGATTTTCAAATCTATCAATAGAGGATTAAAACGAACTTCACATTGAAAAACAAAAAACAGGCCCATTAGGGAATCCTATTGAATAGCATAAGTTTTAAGCTTACATTTGAATAAAATAAAAGCTATTTCAAAACATTCAATAATAATACAGCAGCTTCAAAAAATTTATAAATAAAATCGAAGTTTTCTCCCTTTCTATCAGAAACATATAAATAAAAAAAATTTGATTCTCAATGACAAAGTTTTATAGGACATTTTTAAATAAATTGGAACTGAAAATAAAAAACTATAGCATATGTAATAATTATACATAATAAAATTTATAAATAAAAAAAGCACAAATAATACTAACAAAAAGCACAAATTTAAAACTTATATAACACCTTTAAAATTATAATAAAAATAGCAAGCTAACAGAAAAAAAGTAAACAGGAACAGAATAAGCACAAAGAACAAGATGTAATTCTTGTAATACTAAATTCTTACTTTACAATTGTTTTATGATGTTCAGCATCTTTTGACAACAAAATCAAATACTGTTTCAATAAAGGTTCATAATGATGCCAAGGTAAAACCATGGCTACTTGACCTAGAGTCTCTATTGCAGCATCTATTACATGGACATGTTTCTTGTATGCAGTATCAAAAAGAAAGGATTGAACTATAGGGAACATATATGCGACAATATAATGAACTGAATTATTTTCTTCTTGAGAGTTACTATCTTTCAAAATATTGGCAAAGCGAAGAAGCGCTCTAGCCCGTCGATGAACCTAAAAGTTGAAATAGTTTTAAAAACAAATAATAAGACATGCAAGAAAAAAACATACTTATTGAATAAAACTGCAGTAATATTTTTAATAAAGCTTTTAATACGTATGACAAAGAATTTTACAGTGGTTTTGAATTTAAAAGGGCATAAAATATTTCTTTGTTATTTTATGCATAATAAAAGAAGTTGGAAATTTAATGCTTGGTATAATTGAGAAAAAAATTAATCTGAAAACATACAAAAAAATATCTCTGTAGGCACTAAATGTTAATAAAACAGATGCTAAAGAATAGCCTTTACTGTGGAAAATAAAATGAAATGATACTAATGATTTTGGAAAATATTTAAGTAGTTTTGTTTATATTAATATTCTTAACATAAAATTTCATTCTCATACAAAATGAAATACAATAGCACCTTGATCGATCATTTCTTAAGGGACCGTTCATTATGAGCGACAGATACAGGAAAACGACGAACGACGGTCAATATCAAATCTGACTAGAAAATGAGCAAAAATTTATACATTTACAGTAAGTATAAAAAATTTCAGTTGGAAAAAAAACTAAGCAATTCCTACAACAATATTTAAGATGTAAAAAGAGAATAAATAAATATATTTATTTATTTAAGAAATTTGGAATTCTTGGTTTTCTTTCTTTTTAGCGCAAACAATATATTTTCAACATTTTTTACTGATTTTATGAAAGTTCGTGTGAATACAAGAAGTTCCATATTGTTTTAAAGGCCTTCCACAAATGTTTGCTTGAATTGGTTGCGTTAAGTACAGTCTTTGTCGGCATCGCTTTGCACTTCTTTAGCTTCTGCAACCAATTCTAAAATCGATAATACCCCAGATTTCAACATTTTTATCAACAGAGGCATAAGCATCCAACCTGTTGTTTAAGGCGCTTTACTCAAACTGCAACAAATCCCCATTTTCTTCCATATTAGCAGAAGTTACTGTTTATCCTCTCAAAAGAAATGAGCTTCAATTTCTTTCAAATGTTGATAGAATTTCTGAATGATAGAAACAAAATCTGCTAGTTTCAAAAACGTTCTAAATTTGGTATTATTAATATTATATGAATAACATTTGTGACGAGACCATTAAAACAAGACGTTATAAATTGGAAAATGAAAGATGGGGGAACGATGGATCGAGGTTCACTATATAAAAGAAAGAAACATTTATAATGGAAATAAAAGATTACACTGAAGAAGCTAAACATGTTAGATTATTTTTGAGTTAAATGCAAAATATTATACTAAAAACAATTACAGTCAACTTGTGAGAACTCAAATTTGATGCGACTGACAAAAAACTTTGGACATATTGAAGTTCAACTCATTGTTAGTTTTGATTTTTTATTGTGAAATATTAACAACCGTTTTTTGGCAGTAGGTTCTTAGATTACAAAAAAGAATGATAATTCTTTCCATTATAATTACTATACTTACCATATAAACTTCATGTTCAGAATTTTAACTACATCATTAATAAGATTAATTTATCTTCTGAGTTACAAAGTTTCTAATTTTCCCTTAGAAATCTTTAATTAAAACAAACTCCTTTCGCACAAACTTTACAATAGATCATAAACTTTAACAATATATCATAAACTTTAACAATAGATCATAAACTTTAACAATAGATCATAAACATTACAAACTTTACAATAGATCATAAGTTCATTTAGAACATGGACGGTAAATAATGTACAATATAATTTTGAATGCACATATTTACATGAAATTCTTTTATTTCTAAATTCCAATCCAGTTTGATCAAAAATCAAATGCAATATTAAAGCTGACAATAAATAAACTATATGAAATAAATAAACTATATAGAAAACACATTTATCTATTCCCCACTAGATTGTCCCTTATAATGCATAGATTACAAGAGAAGGGGTAAGAATTATTATCGGTTTTAATTATAATTTATTTATTTACTTTTGATCTTTTTCAACTATAAATGATCGAGTATTCAAGTATAATAAACAAGGAATTAAAGATTAAGAAAAATCATAAAAACATCAAGTATAGTAATAATTCAAGTTGTAGCAAATTAGCTATAAAACACACAAAAAGACTTGCACAAAAGGAGAAAATAAACACGCTAATTTTTTGTTACTTTATGCAATAAACTAATTTAAATGTATTAGTAAAATTTAAACAAATCAAAAAAAGTTAATTTTACTTCGGAGACACCTTTTCACAGTGTATAGTATTTTAAATGAATTTTTACCTGTAAATGCCTGATATTTTCCCAGAAGTCGACTTCTCTATCTTCATCACAAAGAAGAGCAAGATCTTTGAAGTTTGGTAAATCTTTGAAAGTTCGCACAACAGTTGACAGTATCAGAATAAATTCATGCCTCACAGACTATTGAGAAAAAAAAAAAAATTTTTTTAATGTATAAGAATTAAAAAATAATAAAGCTACAAATTTTCATTGAAAAAAAAAATATTTTATAATATTTAAAATAGTTAAAAAGAAAAATATTTATAAAATTAAACTGACACTTTTCAAATACCATAACTATAAAAATACCTCAGATGGACTTTTCAAGCCTTTTTGCACTTCTAGGAGCAAAGTATCAAACAGCAACATTCTAGCAACTTCAGGCAGTGAATTAATGAACAAACTCAGAGATTTAATTATTTCTTGCATAAGATAAGTAGCACTGTTGCGTAAAGCAATATCATCACACTAAAAGAAAATATATAAAAATAGAGCAATTAAAAAGGACTATTTCAGTACTACCTACTAGTACCAAATTATTCATCTGTAAACTAAGTTCAGATAATAATCTGATATCAAATTTTTGTTATATATATCTTAACTTACTTTTCTTATTGTGAAGGAGGAATTGAAAATAATTATTCTGATGAAGTTTTCATTGAATGTTGTTTCATCCATCTGTTTGATTGCCTCCAAAGCTTTTTTATGACCATCTAATCGTTGTTGGTAATCAGGCTCTTCAACTAAGCTAGAGTCTAAAGCATTTAGCTATGAAATAAAATTTATATACCTTATTTTTCTCATCTAAAAATGAACTTAAAATACACATTTTACTTAAGGGAAAATTAAAATTCCTTGATGTTTTTACAAGAAAGGATAAAAGTCGCCATACCTAAATAATTTGGGGCAAAATGGAAAGAAATTTTATAAACAAAAATCAGTTACAAGTGAAGCTTCAAGCACCATATTTCAGTTTCATTCCTCAAATATTTTACCGGGAGTGAAATTCTCCTCTTAAAATTTTGATTTTTTTCTGCCATTGTAAAATAGTAATTCCTTCAAAAATCAATCAGTAAGTGTAAAGCATGTAACAATGAAAACCATTTCATGTAATTTAAGAAAAATTGGCATGGCTCTAGCATTACCAATAACTACAGCTAAATGTAAAAGAGATTTTTCAGCTAAAATTACATTTAAAAAAAAAACAACTTCTACTTGGTGATGAGCATTTAACCAACCCCAGAGTGCTTTTTCAAAAAGCAGATCACCAATAAAAGTGACAACTGCGACATGAACTTTGAACACATTGTTAAATAGTTAAAACAAAGAAAAAGGCAGGAAAATTTTAATTCATTAAATTATATTATTACAAATAATATTTTTTTAGAAACTTTAATGTAATTTATCGTATTAATTGTGAATAAAAAAATTTAAAATAAGGAGTATTGGTCAAATATAAAAGCAATAAATCTAGAATAGTATTAACTTTGTATAATTTATTTGTTCATTATTATGGAATAAGTGCTAATGTGAGAGTAATTTAGAAATGCAATTTCTGTTTTGTAATTCATTGATCAATTTTATATTTCTTCAACAAAAATAGAGGACTTAAATAATTAATCCTAATTATTCATAAATTAAATAATTAGCACTACCAATATTTGATATCACATTTATACCCAGTAATTATAGTAATGACCACAATTATTTAAAAATGAATTGAGGATGTTTAAGCTATTATGAAACTAGCAATAATAAATATTTATAAAAATACGCTCATAAATAAGCTAAAATCAAAATAACATGTTACATTTCATTAATATATAAACAATGAATTTGCTTGACTACTAAAATAAAGTAAAACATTTTATATACCATTGAAACAGTATCAGCCACTAGTTGCATTTCTGGTTTTACTTCAGCCAAAGTAGTAAACACATTAACTAAGGCGATACGAGAGCCTTGGTGTGTTAGTTTCCCAAACAATGGAGCAAACAATCTAGAAATATAAATTATTTTTTCAAAACACAATCAAATTATACAGCTTTTAACACCTTTTATTGAAATTAAATGTATTCTTACTTTATAAAATAATCAGGATTTTCTGACTTCTTAATTAAATTTGATATATTATTCAATATCAGAACTTCATTATCCTAGAGGAGAAAAAAAGAAAGGATTAAAAAAACCTTTTTTAAAAATAATAACCATAAAAAGGTCGTCTGAACATAAACAATTGACGATTAATGTGATAAAATTAATTAATTATTATTATGATAAAATTAATTGACAAATTAATATGATAAAATAAATTTCTAGAAAACAGGGAAAATATAGTTGTAGTTGATTATAAATTATATTAATTACTGAGCCATGACTCAGTGGTTCTCCACAAGGCAAGGAACTGCCATTGTGGAAATTGAGGTTCGATTCCTGGTTGTGGCTTGAAGTCTATCCAGCTTTAGATTGTTGGAGTGCCAACTTGTTTGGCAAGTAAAGGTAGGCAGTGCTCAATGCTGGTCATATTTCCACCAGTGTGTTATTGGTTATGAAATTGTGGAGCCTTAACCTCCATTATCCCCACAAGCTAACAATGAGGTGTAAAAGGATTGTTAATTGCTTACTGCCACTTTAATAAATTAAAAAATGCTTTATATTGTGGCGTAACTACCACTACAAATATTAAACACCAAATCACAAGTATATAAGACACGCTAACTTGATTCTATCACGAGGTACCTTTTGATAGATGAAGGTTGACATAGTCTAAGATTAATTCCCACAGTTGGTGACCCGGACGTGATAGAATCAAGTTAACATGTCTTATATACTAGTGATTTGGTAATTAATATTTGTAGTGGTAGTTACTCTACAATATAATATTTAAATTAATCATAACAAAATAAAAATAAATCTCCAAATCAAACAAAGATTTCATTAAGAGAATAAAAGATCCAAATATATAATTTGGCAATAGATTCATAATACAAAAACTGAGATTCTAATGCTTAATCAAGAATTAAAATAACTTGTTTTAGAACTAGAGTAACACAATAAGTAATTTATTACAAAAAAAAAAGAATACTCTTTGATAGAGGGGAGTGTTTAATTGCAACAAAATAATTTATGTTAAATTGAGACATGATAAATAAATCATAAATTAATGAAGTTAAAAGTGAAAATTGATTTTTATGAATATAATATACTCACACCCTCCAGCTTAGGTTTCAGAAGGAAAGGAGTTAACAACTGGATTAATTTAAAACAAAGTTTGGAGTCGTCCACAAAGCAACTTATCCTACATAAAGATAAAAATAATAAAATTTTTATTTAGTAATTATGAATAATTATGTACATAAATTCAAAGGCAATATTTTTTTATAATTAGAACAAACTTACTTCAATAAAATATTAAGATCTCTAGTAGACAAAGACTTTTTAATCCTTTTTTTAGCTAAAGCACAGGCTGTTATTTCAAACCTTGTCAGAATTTTGTCAATGTAGGGCAGTAGTAGCTGAATGCCAAAATTCACTACATAGAACAAAAATTTACAGAGAAAAAAGTAAATAAAAAAAAATCTTCAAATGATAACTTCTAGAAATTTTAAAACATGAACTATTACACTCACCATCTGTGCTCAAATCACTTGTTAACCCCACACAAAAATTTACTTTTAATGGTGGCAACTGCTTATCTTCTTCTTCAGGCTCATCATCCTCAAGTGTTAATAGCTGAAGAACTATTTTAGATATGACACCTACTACTCTTGATTTCACTCGATTGGAACTATACAAACTCATAATATGAGGTAATGGAGTCAAAGATTTAGCAGTATCATGGTGTTTGGCAAATAATGGGAAGTACCTAAACCAATAAAATATTCATTAAGATTTGGAGGAAAAAAAATAAAGTTTAATAAAAAAATTTAACAACATAAAACACTGTCCAGTAAAAGATTAAAAAGAATGAGGGCTTCAAAATACATTACATACTTTATATGTGTCACACAGAAGAATACTTAATGCCTTAATTCACTTTTTCTCACAATAGATTATTGTATACAAATTCCTTTCAAAATATCTAATCAAAACTAATAAATAATAATTTAAAATGAATGTTTTTATGATACAGCTTGAGCAACAATCAGAAAAGACCATTTTTGAAATAGTCATTAATAAAAATTGCAAACATGAAACAGTTTGCAACCTGTTACCCAATTTAAATGTAATTATGTACTTGAAAATAGCATTTGGAGATTTATCTCAATAGTTTAAAAACATATGCACAATGACAGATTTAGAAAGAGAATATCATTATGTTTTTTTTTATAAAGGGATTTGGTGTTTCTGATAGAAAAAGGAAAGGATAATTTGGGATTTTGTTTCCAGTTGCACAATGAAATAAATAAAAATTTTGAAAGAAGTTTTATATTTTACAACTATTAATCACTTAGTTTAAAAATAAATTTATAAAAAAAAAAATTTAGAAAATTGAAAATTTGTGACATATATTTCTAATATGAGAAAGGAGATTTTTTTATTAATTATTGTATGTTATAAATTTTGCTTTTATCATTTATCTTAAACAACAGTATTTTTTAAGGCGCGGTAATAAAATTTTTTGTTTTGTGCCGAAAGAAAATTGGTCCCTGTAACACAAATCAATGTACGTTATGCCATCTTTTATCAAAAATAAAACTTTTTTTTTTTAAATGCTTATCAAAGCTTGTACAATTTGTTTTCTTCTTAAATCATATATTAATACCGAAAAAAGAAAAAACAATGATCCATATCGCTAACATTTAGTGTCTAATGTTTAAATCCTTGGAAATCTCAGATTTTGTGTGAAACTAACCCTGATTTTGTTAAATTGTGAGAAAAATCACAAATGAAAAATACCTCCAGTGATAATCTTTATGTCAAAAGATCTTTTACTCAAAACTGGTTTACTACATCAAGTATTTTGTATTCCTTAAGGTTGATAAAAAAAAAAAGAATACCAGTTCCTACTGTTAAATTTTATATCCGTTCTTTTCAAATATTGGAAATATGAAAACCATGGACAGTTTTAGCAAATTTCAAATAACCTTTCATTTTCCAAGATCTTATCAGGTCATTAATAGAAAAGTTTATGCTAATTTGGATACTATATTTTCTATTTTTTTAAACAAAAATATGATAAATTGATTTTGATTTGTAAAATAAATAAATAATAATTCTTTTTTATTGATGCAAAATGTTTACAAATTATGTAGAAATATGTTTTGCTCTATTATTCGATTATAATGTTAGTTAAAGGGTTGTTTGAATTAGGCAATGTAAATTTGTAGCAGAATTACGGCTTTATTTTTCTGTAAACGTTCTTGTAAAATTGTTCTTTACTGTTTATTTTATCTTATTATTACCTTTCATCGTGAAACCCTATTAAAAGTAATTATGTTCTATAGTTTTTTAGTTCATATTTTTGAGCAACAAGACATAGAAAAGCCACTAATTTTTATTTTATCATCGCAGTGCGCTTAAACACACTGCAATGTTTAAACATTTATGTATAACATTTAAACAATGTAAACGTAACTCATATTTATTTCATTGTACAATAAATAATTTTGAAAATCCTGAATAAATAAAGAAATATTGAAAAAAACTTCTTATGGCTTTGTAAAGAAAAGAAAAAAAGAAATGAATAATAAAATAAAAAATTTCAAAAAAAAATTTCTCAATTTCTTAATATAATTAAAAAATTACTCAAAAGTAAAATTCATTGAAAAAGAAGAAAGTAATCCATTTTGTATTTTTTCCCCTGGCAAAAATGTATCTGCTAGCACTAAAAAAAAAATATATTATAACAAAATATTATAACATTATAAATATTATATCAAATACAATTTACAATAAATTGCAATTGATACATCAAAGCAGATGGTATTCATTGATGCACTTTTTATTTGAATAAGCAAGGTCTCTTACTTACATATGAATATGTATGTTTCTAAGTATAAGCATGTGCTTAAACTTGAAAGTGGATCTTGAATGTAGACCTTACATAAATAAAATAAAATAATTCTAACCTTTGATTTTCACTCCATGTAGCCATGAAACGCAACAAAGGAGAGGGTTGATTTACAGATTCAAACTCCAAACGAGGTAACTATAGCAAATATTAGGAAGAAAAAAACAACATGATCAAAAACATAGATTCAACCAGCACTAATTAAATACAATATGACCTATTAAATTAAGAGGTCCTTTAGTATAGTATACTCTTTCTTATACTTACCATTGACCACACAATACTTTCAAATATAGCATCGATTTCTTCACAAGAATATTCATAGTCTTTAAATGTATGGAAAAACTAAAATAGAAAGAAATATTTATAGTTTCATATTATATAGCAATAACACCAATGAAAAACACAGACTATAATTATATTTCATATTTATTTAAATAAGGCATCATCTGATACAGTGAAATATTACATGAAGCTTAGTTATAAAATAACTTTAGTTAAGAAAAGACTAAATTTTTTCTAAAAAAAGTGACTAATTTAAAACTAAACATTTAACTACATATTTATTTCAGTAATATTTTTAATTTGAAGAACAATATTCTTGATTGAATGCATAATCTTCAGCCAACAAATAGACTAAAGATTATCATTAAGCAAAGAACAGGTGGCAATGATTTTAACAAAAATATATCAATTCAAACTAAATTTTGTAAGGCTCACATAGCGCTATTAATCATTTATGCAGCACAACTAATTCTTATTAGTGGCTTAGTTGCCACTAGTAAGAATCACTAAATTATAAAAATAGAACTTTTATAAAGTCATGCATGAATTTCAGCTCTACGTCCCATCAAATTGGTGGTTAATACATAAAGCCACAAAAACTTATACATTACTTATTCTTCCTTAAGAAATTAAACAAGCTAAAGTCAAATTTATTTATAATGCCTCGCCCAATAAATAGATTAAATTTCATTCATTGGTAAAGGTAGTAATCCTGAAAAAACTATTTCAGCAACAAAACAATATATAAAAATATTACATATTTCAGCAAGAGTATACCTGCATAAGTTTCATAACAGCCAATGTTCTGACAGTTTTCAAGATGTTTACACATTGAGGAAGAACCTCATCTCGTTTTTCTAATAAAGTAGTACTTGTGGCAGTTATAATTAGCAACACTTTTAACAGCCAAGGTAACAATTCTGGTATCAGATTGCCCAAATGTTGCAGGATCAGTCCCAGTGTGTTTAATGCACTGAAAGATAAAAAAAAGTTTAAAATTTTTATTTTTTATTTTTGAATTTAGATTAATTTAGAAGTTATCATCAGATAGCAATCTTACCTATGTTGCCTTCGAATAGGAACTACAGTTCCTAAATTTATGCTTTCCCTTATCTTTTTCACAGCAGTAAGAGTATCATCTAGTGAAGAAAGATATATCAAAAATTAAAAGAGTAAGAGCAAAAATAACAATAATTAACATAGGGAATAGATTATTTCTGTCATTCACAAAAAAATTGATGTCTTATTTTCACTATACTTTCTTGAACTATTTCACAATTTAAGATCTATTTGGTTTACATTAAGCCACTGACGGTTCTGCACATAAAAAGTTGTATTTTAACCTGTACTCTTCTCGTATAACAAAACCGGTTTTTCTGTGCAATTAGAGTAATAGTGTATTGGGGAGAAACATTCCCTCACTTTCGCCCATTTGCTAAACCGCCAGTGGGTTAAAGAAAAGGTGGGTACAGCCAACATAGGCTCGTTCACTGAAAAAAGGGTTCGGGAGAGCTGGGATTTATGATAAAATTATCATAAACTTTTTTTTTACAACTTTTAAACAACATTTGGTTACATTATTAAGTAGAAAAAAAACATAGTTTATAAAATATAAAAATTTAAGCAATTTTTTTATTATTTTTATTTTCATTATTATTATTTTTATTTATTTATTACTTTTCTTTTAAAATTCTATTTGGTGCTTTTACTTTGTGAGGCTATCACTAACTGTCTACTAAATATTATTTAGCTTAATATTTTGATTTTCTGCTTTTAATTTTCGGTTTAGTCTTCTTGGAGTTTCAGTGGTTACAGTTTTTCTCTTTTTCTTTCACGGGTTGCTGATAGAACAGTTTTAATTCATTGATTTCCTTGACATCAAATTCCTAGTGACGAGGTAGCAAAATTTAACCTTTATCCAACGTATATCTCGGGCTCTAAGCAATCCTAAGTACCGGCTCTGATTTAAATTCTTCGGATTCAGGCCCTCAGAAGCGAACCCACACTCATCTCTAATTTTTACATTTATGATACGGCCTACACAAATAATTAATTTGAACTTTAATTATACTGATACTTGTTTTTGTAACAGTGCACTTACTTAAATTTTCTAAAGAAACAACAGTCAGGAGCATATATTTAAAAAGTTAAAATTATAAAAATTTAACATCTCAAAGCAGACCAACAAAAAGCTAAATATTCATAATATATGGAGTAAAAGTAAAATTTTATTTCCGACTTAATAATTGTTTAAACCCTTTGTTTAAGAATTATAAATTTATAAATAGCGTAAGAACAATAGAACTACTCTCTTCTTCTAATTATAATTTTATATTAATGAATAGTTTTAATAGTTAAAAATAAATTAAAACAATTACATGACAAAATTCAAGTCCACAATTTAGTCACATCTTATTTTCTAAATAGGCTATACAAATATTTAACAGTTTTAAAAACAATAATAGGGCACGTAGCCAAATCTTTCAACAAAAAATAAGCATCTTTTAAGTACTTTTTAAGTGCTCAAAAAATATTTTAAAGCATCATATACACTAACAAAATGCAAAATAATTTTCAAAGACTTTACATTAATATGAGAAAATAACTAGTTTCAGACAAAGAATTCTTTTCTTGATTATATTAGCCGTTATAAATTGATAGAGAAATTTTTCAATTCAATATCAGAGGGTGGAAAAAGACTGAAATTGAGAATGTCTTGCAAAATGCAGCAGAGTTGCACATGAGAAGGCAATAATCTCACCGAACCCAGCTCAGTAGACTCACATACGAACTCTCAAGTATTTCATCAAACATGTCAAATGATTGGCGCTTTCATGCGTTATGGACTGACGGTACAGCGTAATGAATTGTGAAAACGTTGAATAGAACAAAGTGAAAAGCACGCTTTTGCATAACGTGGCAGAAATCGACATGGTAACAAAAACAAATCTCATTTTTGAAAAGGGAAAATTAAGCACTTTTTAAAAACACCTAATGAAAATAGTACCTTTAAAGGCTTTTAAATAATGAAAATCGAAAATAAGCACCTTTAAAAATGCTACACACCATGAATAATAATACTAACCATTGAGCTGTTCTTTAAAAGGTAAAAACACTAGATCAAAAAACATTTTCAATTCATCCGCTTTGCATCCAGCTAAGAAACGTAGAACTAAAGACCGCCTGGTGTTTGCCTGTGCTTTGCCAACAGTATTGTTCCCTGTTTTATAAAGCATTTTCCCATACAACACCCTGTCAAATAAAAAAGCACATATATCTATTATTTGACAATAAAAAATGAATAACATCAATAAATATAAAACAAAATGTACCTCATTAAAATAGCCAACACATTCATTCTGTGTTCATTCTGGATAATTTCATTTTGAGAATCTAAACTGAACAGAACCACTTCAGTCTTGAATGTTTTATTCTCTAGAATTCTGTAGAAATTATCTCTGGAAAAAAATATTTCATATTTAAAACGGGCATTTTTTCCTACTGAATGTAAGCAAAAACATAATTACACAACCACTCTGTAAAATCTTTTTCAGCGACTCTACAAGTTGACAATCATGAAAATATTTAAAAAAAACTGACATATTTTTTGATTTAAATAAGAGATTTGGAGAAAGTGGCAAAATCAAGTAGTCAACTAGATTTTCTAATGGAGTTGGTAGGTACAGTAAATAAATCGAAGTTCAATATGCAGCTAATATAATCAAGATTAAAACTATTAAGTCTAAATTAAGACGGGCTCCATAGTGTGCCAGAGAGGAAAAAAAATCAGAATTTTTTTTTATAAAAAAAGTCAGCCTTCTTTCTAACAATACACATATACCAAACTATTATTATAAGTCCAACTAAAAAGAGTACAATTTGCTCCACTTGCAAATTGTAACCAGGGGTAAAACTATGATAATAAGGGAAATTTTACCCTGGAAGTATAAGAAAATATACTTTTCTTTTCACTAAAGCAGAAACCTATATAATTTTATAGATGAGCACTGAATAACTCATTATAGTTTGAGGTGAATATAGGTTTTCTTAGATCTGCTGCATTAAAAAATTAGCAGAATCAATCAGCTAATATTCCCTCAAAACAATACTTAATTAAAATTTGCAATCAAGTTTAAGGCTTCCTTAATCAAATAATGTAAAATTAGGGTCTTTATAATCTTGAAAAGAATACACAGTGAAAATGCTGATTGACATTTTTGTACAAAATTAATTTAATAGGCCTTTGATTCACCATTTAAAAATTCTATGATATGATTAGAGTATTGTTGATCAGAATTGATCATTTTTTAAAATAAGATGAAAGTAATGAGTCAATAATTGCAAAACTACAAAATTCCCCCCTACAAAAGCAATTACTACATTTGTTGAAAATATAAAAGCATATAAGTCCAAGTCCTAAATTCATCACCATAAAAATTTGATAATATGAAATTGCTAATTGAGTTACTTTGTCATAAAATGACTAAAATCAAATGTTTAAAGCAATGCACTGTGCAGGTAAGGCTACATGACTGAGCCATGTATATAATTCGTAGATGATTCTTAAATTTTAGCTATAAAATTTTGCCATTTTTACTAGTATTATTAATTAAAATAAAAAGATGTTGGATCAAAAATCCTAATATATAGATACTTCAAAGTGAATAATTTAAAACCCACATTTGTATTCTAAGAGAAAAGAATGCTCTAAACACACATAAAATTTAGGAATATCCGAGCAAAAATCTAAAAATAAGGACAAATAAGGATAAAGCATTTTTTAACAGGAATATCAAAAAAATATATATTTTTAAAATATAAAACCAAACATAAGAGTAAGTAAAAAAATATCATAGCATTAATAACATAACTCCAAATCACAACTAAAATGTTTTAATTATTTTTTCATCATTCATTAAATTGGGAAATTTGTGCAGAATTTGAGAGATGCTTAAAATTAACAAACTTTATTTAAGATTTGCTGTTGGCTTAGATAGACTTTTATAATATAAATATTACTACTTATAAAATTACTATAATGCTTTAGTAAACACAAATTACAAGCAATAAACATACCATAACAGAATAAAATCATTAAATTCATTTAAGATGAATGAAATATTAAAAAATATGAAAATAATTTACTTGTAAGGATGCAAAAACTTGTGGTTAAAAGTTAGAATGCAATCAAATGCCAGCTTCTGTATAACTGGATCGTAGTAACAAAGAAGCTGAAAAATACAATTAATAAATTAAATAAAGATGAATAGTCTAAAAATATTAAACTGATAATTTTAAACATAAATTATACATAAATAAGAATACTAAAAAAAATCACATGTTTCGATTATTCGACTAACCTCTTTATAAAGTGTTTCCAATTCTTCTGCTTTGTATCCTCCTTTTGGATTCTTGAATTTTGCAAAAACAGATAAATAGGCAGCAAGTGTTCTAAGATAAAAAGTTAGGAGAACAATTATCAGTTAATATAATTCATTAAATTAAAACTGATTGAAAATAAAGCTACAATAAAGAGCATAATGTAACAACTGAACTCATAGCCATTTTCCAAACGGGAAAAAACTATACAAGAAAATTGTAGCTAGGAATATAAGCAGCAGAGGTATAGGAACGAGAAAAATTCAGTAGAATAACTAGAATTTTAAGCAAATAGAGATATACATTAAGGAAGAGATAAGTAACCATTCATAAAAAATTTATTCATCACAAAATTTTTAAAAGTGTAAAATCGCCAATCCGAAGATTTCCAACCTAGCTGCTAATCAGTTAAGCTCCACACTGCCTAACATATGCTTTATATTATGAATTTTTTTTTTTTCAAACCAAATATTTTAACCATAATAAAAGTAAATTACTTTTAAATGTTATTTATCAACAATGCGAAATGTGAAAACTATATATGATTAAAGTTTGAAACTTATTAATAATGATTCAGATTTTAGCAATGTTTTTAGAAAATCTAAATCATTTTAGACCAATAAGCTAAAAATTCTCACCAAGTCATTTTATAGTTTTGATCAAAGATTTTACTCTGATGATGAAGTTTGTCAATAACAATAAAGCTGCTGTAAGTTCTTTTTTTTATGTATTTAACTGCATTTTATTATCACTATCGAATTAATTTAAAATATTCCGATTGTAAAAATTCCTTTTTTTAACATTGCTTTAAACATCATAAGGGAGTAAAATTCTTGGTTAAAGCTTCAAGCTATGATAGATATAGTGATAGAATAGCTCTATATTTACTATTATTTAAACCCCCAAGATGAATCTGGCACTATAATGTTTTTTTTTTTTACTATATAACTCAACATTTTAAGCACAAAGACATTAAATTTTAAATAAAAACTATGGCAATTAATTTTTAAATTTCTAAAAATAATATACAAAATTTAATCAGAACTTTGCTTATTTTTAATTATAACATTCAATACAACTAATAACGATATATAATACAAATTTTAACAAGCTTTAAATGCTATGCTAGAATTAAAAAAATTCAATAAATTACTTAAAAGTCAATAAACTATTTTAATAGATTTCTTAGTCTTTAAAAGTATTTTACCAATCTTTTTGAACATAGAAAGGTCAAACAATAGTAACTAATAATTAACTATGCAAAAAAGAAATAATTAAAATAAGGATGTTGCTGCATTTTCAATGAAAAAACACAATAGCTAGATTGATTTGAAATAATATTGCTAAATTGTAATGAGACACGTTATGCTAAATATGAGTTATAGATAACTATATTTAATCAGTTAATATCAAATTGCAATGGTAGTATAAAACATACATTAAAAAAAGGAAAGGATTAACAAAATGGGGGAAAAGACTATATTAAAAAAATATATGGTATAGGAAGATAAAAATGTATTTTTATGGATGTTAGGATGAGATATTAAGCTGGAAAATATTGACAAAAAAGGTCGAGACATAGAAAATATTGATTACGAAGAAGAAAAAAATCAATAGTATTAGTATAAAGTCAATGTCAGAGGTAGACGGCTGAAAAAATTCAAGGTAAACCAAAATTTTTTTTTTTTTTTAAATCATAAAACATAAGTTTCATTTAATTACGACAGAAAAAAAAGTCATTAAACAACCAAATATACAAATTAAAAATTCATTACTTTGAAACATGGTATTTTCTCTTAGCATAATTGGCCTTTTTAGGTGCAACTGTAACATGGCGTTCTTCTTCCTCCTCCTCTTCTTCAGATTCTGATTCTTCCTCTTCAGAATCCTCTTCTTTTTTAGACTCAATTTCTTCTTCAACTTCCATATCTTCTAGAATTAATTCTGCAGACTGCGTTTCAGAATTTGATTTAGTATCAAAACCTTCCGCTAATTCAGATGATTTTTCAGATTCAGAATCTTTTTTGCTAGAAAAAAATAAAGATTTTTTCATATACTTTATTAAAAACAAGTGTAGTAATGTAACAAAGGATAAATATTCAACACACCCTTTAAACTAAAATTATTAACCTATTTATCCTTTCTATTATTTTTCTATAGTAAATCCAAACGAAAGAGAAAAAAAAATTAAAGGGAACAATTTATCATCCAACTTGCAAAAAAATTTTTTTTTAAAATTTTATTTGAATATGGGTATGGGCAGCAGATGGTGTTCTAGAGAGCTTTTTCCACCTTCTCAGTAAAATACTGATAAAAGCAGAAACTTTGTACGGCTCTCAACCTTGTTCCCCCCCTTTTTTTTCAATGAAAGAATCTTTCGGAAGAGGCAGTTATCTCACTTAATCCTATATTACAGAAAAATGATTTTAAATTTTTTTAAATAGTATTTGAATGAAACTTAGACAACATTTTAATTTTACAGATAATCGAAAATTTTTGAAAATGTGTGAATCACGAAATATCTATTAGAAAATTGATAATTCCAGGATGAACATAACTTCACACTAACAAGGAAATAGTGTAATTTCTGTGAAGACTGTGCAAATAAAAATAAAGTTTTAACTATACCAAAATAAAAACTACAATTATTAAAGTATCATATGAATCATATTATGAATATAATATTTATAATAAATATAAATATGAAATATTTATATAAATATAATAATATGAATATAATATTTATAAAAAAATTATTCAGATTAAACCAACAAGAAAAGTGATCAAATTAACAAGTAATGAGTGTGATCCAACTTTTCAATTTGCATATGCTCGAAATAAATAGAACATATTTCCACAATTTTAACTCTTCTTATTCTTTGGCACTTTAAAAAGTATGATACTTACAGTTTCTTATTCTTTTTCACTTTCTCTCTTGTGCATCTACGTTTCCTCTTTCCAGATTGGTTAGTATCTTCATCCTCAGATTCTAATTCAAAAGTAGAACTAACATCCAAAGCAGCCTGATTTCTGTTGATATTTTCAGTGCTTGCCATTGAAGTTTCAATTTTGTGCACTTCTTTCCTAAACAAAGAAGAAAAAAAGAATATTATTTGTAAGACAGTCGAAAAAGTAAAAAATACCACTATTAAGAAAAGGTAAACATAATTTTTAGTTAATCGAAATTCATTTAATATTTATCACTCAAAATCAGATTCAGCGGATAAAGCTTATACAAGCTTCTCAGAATATAAAAAAAAAACTTATTTAGTAACTACTATAAGATTACTTCACCGCTGATGGAGAAAAAATCCCAAGATAGTGACAAATAACTAAAACCTTTAAGAAATTGTAGAAAACTAATTTTTTTAAATTCTTGTAAATCTAATTTTGAATGACAATAAATTTAAATTATGTGCCAAACATCAAGGCAAATTTTTTTATACAAAAACCAAAGTGCTAAAAAAGAAGTTTGTTCATACATAATAAATTGGAACAAGAAAGGTACAATTATCTTGTTTTTTGCTTCAACAACATTCGGAAAATGCTCCATAGCTTTCCAAAGCAGCATTCGATGGTTAAGCAGATCAGGTTTTTCCTTTGGTTTGCAAAATGATGTGAAATGATGACAAAAAGTACTACTGTCCATATCCAAACTAATATCAGTAAATGATAAATCAGATGTGTATTGTTCTGAAAATACAATTATTAAAAAATTAATACACAATATAGATATAATTTACTGTCTTTGAAAAGAATTTTCAAGTAATTTATGGATAAGAAATGTTATTACATGAAATATTAATTATGTTTAACTAGGCTCACGTATGCACAGAGTCAGCTTTCAGAAAAGAAAAAAAGAAGAAAAAAAAACATATTTCTGGGATATTTACATGGATTCACAGATATACAACTGGTAATAGTTTCAGTAGTTCTTGCACATAAGCAAAAAAATTAAAATTTTAAAGAAAACTCAGATTTTTTTTTTCTTAAAGTTATGTATAAAATATGAGAAAAATAGTATAAATACAGAAAAGCATTAAGTAGCAAAATATAAGGATTCTGTTATGAAAATCAGTAGAGTATGATATAGTGATGGAGGGAGTAAAGAGTTTTTTATATATTTCTCCCACATGGAATGTTCCATACTGTCAAGTCAAGGGAAATTGTCTCTAACAATGGCAGCAAAGTAAACTAATACTACACTTGACATGCTATGAAGACTTATCTATGAAAATGCTCATTTTATTACATACTTTGTTTCATGGCACATAACAAAATTTCTGAATTTTAATTTTCTTCAATTCTTTTTAGATAAACAATATTTATATTTCGCTGTTAGCTTCAACAAAAATTTGGAAAATACAAAAATTTCAGGACATTTATTGAAATTTTTAATAATTAAGGACCCTTTAAAGAAATTGTGGACAACTTCAAGCCCTGAGCAAATATTTAAACAAAATAAAACATAAATAGATTTAATTTTATAATTAAAAGTTTTACCAATAGTTATTTCTAAGCAATTCATCATTGCTAAGCAATTGCAAATAAAAATAGTTTTTAACCATAAAATTAATTTTTTTCAAAAAGGCTTTAAGACCTACTCAGATAAACTTAGGCATGGAACTAAGAAGGTCACATTCCAAACTGGTGAAATTCAACTGAAATCACTGTAGTTCTTGAAATTTTTTTTGAATAATGACTTTTCAGAATCAAGAAATTCCAGAAATATCACATTTTAAGTTGAAAGTCTAGACACATATCTAGTTTTAAAATATACACAAACAAAACACTTTTAAAATAAAGATTTAAACAATTACCACATAAATTTGTGATGTTATCAAGATGAGGAAAAAAGACATCCCAAAACAGCTTTGTTTTTCCATGAGCAAAGCTTTCTAAAAGTAATATTGTAGGATCCCAAAGCAGCTTGAAATTCACATACAACATACCTAGCAAATAATATACTGGTACCTATGGAGAGTAAATAGTTTATTTATAAGCATTATTTTTTTTAAAAAAATCTACTAGAGACTACCAAAACAGGTACTCACCTTCAAACATATATTTTCTAAATCAACAGGAACATCTTTTTCTATGAAGCTGTATTCCAATTTTCTTAACCATTTCAGTTTCTCTCTATAGTTTTGAACATCCAAAGGGACTTTTTCAGCTTCATAGCAAATATTTAAAATATCCAAAATTGCCTGATAAAAGGTTCAAAATTTAGAATCAATGCATCAAGTTCCAATAAATTTCTCGGTAATTATTTTCTAACAAGCATACTTACAAGATAAACTAACACTCCACATAAGACATAGTATATTAAAAAAATAGAAAATAGCAAAAGAACTAATGTAACAATTGAACATGCGCTATTAAATAAACCGCTACAACCACCGTACATGAAATTAAAATAATTTAGAAAAAAATGTGAAAAACACAAAGCCAATTTAGAAACAAGTCAAGATGAAAAGTGCAATCTGAAAAGTGAAGAAAAATACACAAATATTTCTGAAGATTACAGCAAAGCGAGTTCCCTAATAATCCTAAAAATTTTGCAACTTCTAGTTTCTTAAATCTCCTAACCATAGATAACTCAAGTTTCTCTTGACCTAAAACTCAGAAACCTAGATAACATTAAGGAGAATAAATACTTTGTAAGCACTCAATTTCTACGAATCATTATAATTTTTTTAATATAAAATCATCACTAACCCATTACATAATAAAATTAATTTATTACCTTATGTTGCAAATTACTTGAAGTTATAGAACATAACAATCTTAATGTTGACTGTCGAATCTGTAAGAAACATTAAAATCTAATTATTATACGAAGAAAAGTCTTAAGCTTAAAAGATTAAAATACTAACAATACAATACACTTAAAAAAATTCAGTAAATGTTTTGATATCTCAAAAGATAGGTTAAGAACGGGGCAATATGCATTCGTAGAGGGAGAGATGGCACATGGATTCAAGAAATAAATGAAGCAATGGATAAATATGAAGTCTGTTAAAAATTGGGTAAAACGGCTTCAAAAATAAAATAGTATAGATTTCATAAAACAATTTTGCAAACAAAGAGCTTATAATTGAATGGTGACTTACCTTATGATAAGGTGAAGACAAATTTGGAAGGAGAATCATCATGACTTCTTCAACACTATCAATTTCAATATTTTTTAAGCATGAACTAAAATAAAGGTCTACCAAGTGCAAAATTGGTAAGTTTAATGGGTATTTCCTAAAATGAAAAACAAAAATAAAAGATATTACTTTTCTAAAGAAATGAATATAGTAATTTTAAGGAAAAAAGAAGACATTTTAATAGAATATTCTACTTCTTAAACACAAATTATTAGTTTTGTCTAATATTTCACACCTTAACTGCTCAAATCTAAATGGGAAAAGTATATGCTTACATTTAAAAGGCAAATACTTATTGGCCTATTATTTTAGTTCTTTGTTCGCATGTATAGAAGAAATTCTAAGATTAGACCAAATGTTCAGCCAAAAAGAAGAAGAAAAAAAAAGCCCAAATACTCAATATTTGGTGGTCAAATAGTAACATTTATTTTTTTTAAAAAATCATTAATAAATTTCATTTTTTATATGTAAATAAGTTAAGTCATTATCAAAAAATAATTTAATCTTAGCTATATTATTGGTATGAGGTAAAAGGAAAAAAACTACAATATAAATATTTAAAATAATAAAGATATTTAGATATTACAATAATTAAAAATATTTAAGATAAAAAAAAATTTTAAAAAAAAACGGACAGCAATTGGATGAAAAAAACATTAAGTTAAAAAAAAAATATCCTTTTAATACTTAAAACAAAACTTTAATGCTACTAGTAATATTTTCTGAGAAAAAAAAGTATTTATACAAGGTTAAAAGCGATATACTCTGTCAGAAATGCTTTTAAAAATGTTGCTCAAACATAAAAACATCAATAAAAAAGAGATTACACAGAAGAGCAAAGCAGAATAAATAAAAATCGATCTTAATTTTTTAAAGAAAACATTAAATGAAAAAGTGAAGAAAAAATAATAAAGCCTAATAGAAATCCTCCTAATGAAAACGTCTAGAAAAACAAAATTTTAAAAAAAGAAAAAGCTCAATCAAAACTAAAATAAAACAAAAAAAAATCAATCTGAATTTTTAAACAAAACATTTAATGCTAAAAAAGTCAATTCAACTCTTTTACTTTGTTGTATTTTTAAAAAAATGCTTCCTCTCAATAAAATTAGTGATAAAAAGAAAAGTTAATATAAAAAGTAAAAGAGAAATCTTGACTGAAATTTACTAAGTCATGAGGAAGAGTTAAATTTAACATTAAGGATCACACTTTTCTGTTAACGGTTATCTGCCTTACTATACAGGCAAAGAATTACAATAAAGTCTATTAAAAACACTAAATTTAAATGCTTTGCTTTAATTAAAACATAAAAATAGCAAAAAAGAAACGAAAATACCAAAGTTTTCATTTCTTAAAACAAACAGTGTTGAGAAAACTACAAAATTGATTTTCCTGAATATAATTTTTACAAAAATCAGCAGTACAAGACTAAGTTGGTTTAGTATAAAGCTAGTTTCTCCTATTTGCCACATCATAATAAAAAATGTCTATAAAAAAAAAAATTTTAAAAAAGAAATTTTTTTTCTTCTCTTTTCCCATTTGCCTTTCAGGGCATAAACTAACAAGTTCTAGAACTTAACAAATATGTGTAAAAACTATTTCTAATAATGTATAGTAAGAAATACGATTCTAAATTACTCTTTATTAAATCTATTCTAATTCCTTAAAAAAAATTGCAGAAAAGAAAATCAGCAAAAAACAGCTTACCTTAATAAATCAGTAAAAAAACATGTAGGAGGAGAGTTGTTTTCTTCATCTTTATTAATGAGTAGCAAAGAGTAGTAAGCATTTAAAAGAACAAATGAACATTCTTCTACATCAAAAGAATGAGTCGCCTCATTATCCAGCAGCTGCTTTTTAATATTTATCATAAATTCATTGATGACACTAGTAGCTTTTGTCTGGTCAACCAATCTGTTTTAATAAAAGCAATATGAAATTTAAAAATAAAATATATGAGCACTAAAATACTACTCGTTGAAAAATTTATTGTTGAAATTGTATCTAAAAACAAGTAAAGGCTATAAATTTTTCCTAAGAGTCATCTCATAAGTATCAATTTTTGAAAAATATGCTTATATTTAAGAATCATAAGAGAAATAATTTTTAATTTAAAAATGAAAGTCAAAGATCCCAACTAAAGAATTATGCAAAACATTAAATTTATCATTCAATTAAAAATATTCAAAATTTTATGGCGTTCAAAGTCACAAAAGACACTTAACATATAAAAAACTTGACGGTAATTTAATCAGATAATATTAATTTGCATTAATTAAAACTTAAGAATAAAAAAGTGATTAACATGAAAAAAATTTTATAACTTTTCTCTAACAAAATATAATAACACTTCCTAATTACCTAAGATGAGGCAAGCAAATAAGAGCGGACCAAGCTTCAGAAAGGCTTTCTTTAGTAACACTGCTGAAGCTTAAGGTTTGCAGTAAATACTTTTCTAAACTAGCAAATTCCATAGAATTGTTTCCTTTCTTAGATCTGAAAATTAAAAAATAAGCATTAAAACCATCAAGAGCAAAAATGAAAAATTCAGTAATCATTTTTAATTATTAACTTATCTATTAAAAAGTGGATGTGATCATAATTAGTATCCTTCCATTGAATGGAAGAAAAAAAACTGATAAATAAATAGCGAAGAAAAATTTAATGAAATAAAAAAAGAGACAATACCATTTTTTATACAGTTTCTTATACATTATCAATATTTAGGAAAAATCCATTATAACGATAATTCATAATATCAGATGAAAATGTTGATATTGTAAGCTTGTTGTCACAAGTAAATACACACATGTAATATTAAAATAGCAATAAAAAGACCAAAAAACGTAAATAAGTGCCTGACAGGATTTCTAAAAGTAGCGTAAAATTTTTTCCTTTGTTTGGAAGAAGGTAACTTAAAAAAAAAAAAAAAATGGTTATAAAAATTACATGTTATAAAAATAAAAGGTTAAAATTGAAAGAAAAAAATAGTTCCTTTTTTCTTCTCTTGTCTGCATTTTCACCAAAAATAAATAAAAAGGCCTTTCATTTAAATCTTTTTCATTCAACATTACTCACCTAAACAGCAGAAAGTGTATATCATATACATATATTTGCCGTTATAACAGACTTATCATAATATGCCCCACCGGTTGTATTGAGCTTTTACTATATGTCATAAATACAGTACGAATCACCACATACAGAGGTCCATGTCTATGTTTGAGATACTTTTTAAGAAGCAAAATAAATTAATCTTACTTTCTTTTTCAACAAAAAAATTTTTTTTTGTAATTCCTTAAAAAAAAAGGCGTTTGTGAATTTTTTTTTCTTTCATTTTTCATTCAAAAGATTTTTCTGCAATACGGCAGCTCACTGCACTAGAAATTGTGCCATCACAGCTCATTTATCATCAATCTAAATATATTATAAATCAAAAATACTTACAGGCTAGAATAAAAGTACAATTTTGTAAAGGACTCAATGTCTTCAAAGTTTAAAGTTACTGGCTTCAATGTTGCAATGGTCTCAGAAAGAATTTCAAGAACTTTAATATTGGTATCCGGCTTTTCTAAAAGACTCAAACATTCTGACAACAAAACAGGCAAAAGATCCTGAAATAATGAAAGGAAAAAATGAAAATTGTGCCAGCAAAATTGTTAAATATTTGTAAATAAATGGTTTTTGAAATTTAAAAATTGCTAACTTTGAATAAAAATGATATAGTTGACAAAAAAGCAATTAGTCTTGAGAACATTATAAAAAATTTTATTACTATTTTTTTCTTATCTAAGAGCATTATGCTGCTATTTAAAATAAACTATAATTTATTAACCTATCTTACAAGAATTTTTCATATAAATCAGAATGAGAAAACTGGATTAAGTACTGCAATTATTTCTGATGGTACATGATAAACATTAATTATAAGATTTCTTTTTGTTTGGGGGGGGGGAGTAAAAATTTTAAAATATTAAACGGTAAATCATTCTAGCTAAAAATAGGGGTAGTGAGGGTACACTAAGAGCAGTATATATTCATGAGGAGGGGGATTAAAAAAAGTAGGCTGGGACGCAGAAGTTAAATATCTTCTGGATGCCATACACCGCCATCAACAATGCCGTTTTTTTTGGGGGGGGGGGATACAGCAGAGTAACGGAATCAAAGAATGTTCTTTCCATCACTTTACAAATCTATTCAAACTCCAAAGTATAAATGATTTGTAGTGTGACCTTATAGTCAGTGGCACAACGAAAACAATTAGATCAATTACAATCATATATGTAACAAAAAAATATATAACAAAAATATTTATTGTTACTGTTACTTATTAGAATTCAAGAACCACTGAATAATTATAACTACACACAATCATGATCAGAATTAGTAACATTTTTCCGACAAACTTGATTTATTTTTAACAGCTTTAAAAAATAATCACAAAATGAAAGTAATTAGATTTAGCAAACTTCTGTATCTATATAGTTTTTCATTCTTATATGCATCGGGTACAAAATTAAAAATTTAAAAAAAATAATAATAATAAAGTGCTTTTTACTACCTTTTCAAACATTCCATATTTGTACATACATCTGGTAAAATAAAAAACGATTTCTGTTGAATGAGAGTATATCTGAAAGAAAAAAAAAGAAAGAAATAGAACACACAGGATATTAGAAAATACTTTGATTATATACATATATTTATTTTACTTTTAAATCCAATAAATGAAATGTGAAAGAGAAATAAGTACAAAAAAACTAAAATACACGGTATAACTATAAATCATATGTTAAGAATTAAATACTTAACATAATATCAAAACAAAGGCAACTTTTTTTTTATTAAAAAAAGGAGTGAAAATTAGAATTGCTAAAACAATCATTCTTAAAAATCGCAAAAAAATAGTAAATTATTAAATTTTGTATTTCCTAAAGAAACTTAGAAAAGATAAGTTATTCTTTTATGTTTCTTAATAAATTATTACCTTTGATATAGCTGATTTTGTTTGATTAACAGGTAATTCTACACAGCTTGAAATCATAACAGCAGACATAATATCAACTACAGATTTCATACAGTACTCAGGCAGACTCTTCACATGACATAAGGATATCAAAACCTATATTTTTTTTTTAAAAAAAAGGATATTAGTGATGATAAATGATGTATCAATGATTTTAAATTTAAAAATTATAATAACAAATCAGATATAAAAGTCAGCATTGAGCAAATTTTTCTAGTAAATAACTAAAAATTATGACAAATAACTATGCACAATGATTCGGAAAGGAAAAAAAAGAATCATTTGGCAAATAACTTTTTCTATTATCAATTTTTTAAGCATTTAGATCTAATAACTATAAAGTTGCACACATTCTAAACCACATTATAATTTATATTTTACTTTCTCAAGTTATAAATGACATATGAACCAATTTAATCTGCAACAAGAGTTTGCTTTCGAGATTTTTTCTTATTAATTATCAGGATACTTAGCTTATTACACAATCATTTTTGCATTTTGATTTGTCAATTGCTTTGTTCTATTGATTACTATCTATTAAACTCAGTTGTAAGCAGAATTTTATATTGATGTTATTTATATTAGTTCCTTTCGTACATTATTCAATAAAAAATAAAATAAAAAAAGATTTAACAATAAAATTTTTATTTGAAATGATCAAGCAATTAAAACAAAAATATGAAATAATAATATAAGATACTATTTTTTGAACATTGTAAGTAATTGCAATTTTAAGTAATGCTTAGCAATCACCCAAATTCTGAAGTGAAATAGATACAAATAGCTTTTAAATGTGATTATTTCCAACAGTTATCGCTCAAACTATTATTCTTTCAACTTAATTATAACATATAAATTTTTAACAAACAATGATAATTTAATGATTTATGAAACTTTTTGTGGATTTTCATTGAGAAGAAAATTTACTACTAGCTTTATATAAAGCTGTAATTGCTAATAATCTGTTTTTCTATTTGCATGCATTTCCTTTTTTTTTTAATAATTGGCACTATTTTTAAAATAACAACAAATGTTCTTAATTTTTCCCATACCCAACCTCAATGCTCTTAAAAACTACAAACAGCAAAATTTTCATCTTAATGATGAATACAAAAAACGAATTTTTCTATACTGTAAATGTAATGATATTACATTTACAGTTTATTTTGCTGCATAGTTAGCTGCATTTATTACAATTTTATACAATAACTATAAAATAATAATAAGAATCATCTTCTTAAACTGCAGTAAACAATTCAGATAAGAAATCCTGCAGTAAAGAATTCAGATTCATTATAATAAATCCTTTCGTACTAAAATGTTTAACTGACACACGCACACACAAAAAGCAGCTTTTACAAATAATATAAATTTTATGCTAACTAATATGTAATAATTAAAATATTTCATGCACAGAGAGTTTAAGGGATTTTCTTTGTAATTATAATTATAAATTGACAGTAATATTTTTCCATTTATGATTGACACTAATAAGTCTTTTAAATATAAAATATCTTTAATATGTTAGTTGCAGTTTTGAATTTGAAGTAATATATTTAAGATAATTATAATATGCTCTTTAACCAGTTAGTCAAAATAGTAAAAAAAAAACTTCCAATTGATTATAATAAATTAACTTTATTATTTGGCAGTCACATTTATTCAAACACAATAAACAAGGAATAAACTAAATAAAAAGAATCTTATTTGATATGGATTTATTTTTTTAGAATTATATTAGGAGTGTTCATCGAATCAAGAGATCAGAAGATACTGGTGAAATCCAACAGAGTTGGCATTAATAAAAACAGTCAAAGAAATTAATAAATACTATATTTTCATTTGAGTATCTATTGACACAGAATAATAATTATAAAAAAAAACAATACATTTGCACTTTTATTGAATAAATTTATTACAATTTGTTTCAAATAAAAGCTCAAATTAATATGAATATGTTAATATAAAGATGAACAACTATTAATTAAAAGTGCACACTGAAACATAAATCTCTAATCATCATATTTTTTTCTTTTTATTGACTGATTCATATTTGCCTAAAACATTTTAAATTCAAAACTGGATAACAAAAAAACTTAAAACTATCTAAACCAGGATGACTACAGTCACAAAAATGTAAAAAAAAAAAAANAAAAAAAAAAAAAAAAAAAAAAAAAAAAAAAAAAAAAAACTGGTAGAAAAAGATAGCTGAAAGAAGATGTTTAAGATGATGGTAAGAAACAAAGCTTATGAAAAATCTATCAAAAACAATAAAGTTGTTAAAACACTAATTGAGCACAATATTCAATGTATGATGTATGTAATGTTATAAAAAATTTTATGAATGAAATAAATAAAGAAATATAAAAGTACATAAGAAAATACGGTTATTTAAGACAATACAGCAGTAATTAAGCATGGAATTTGTTTACAATTATAACTTGATGTAATCTATTTTACCTCGACAAATAAGTCATTTGATGTAATCAAGCTTCCCTTTTTAAATTCAATCCAAATGAGGAATAGTTTCAAGATTCTATCAAGGTGATTAGCAACACTTGATTCCTGAGTATCGAGCTTAGCGATTAATTCATTTATGAAATCCTGCAAAATAAATTTTAAAATAAAGAAAGCGAAGAATAAGAAAATAATAATGTGAAATATTTAACTGATAAAATCCACTTACACAAAAAATATCTTGAATTATAACACAATGAGTTTTTACAGTATGCTTACACATAGCACTAAACATATGCTCAAGAGACTGTTGAATTAAATGAGCAGAACAATTTTCATTTCCTAAAAGTCCGAAGAGTAATTTCAAAACCTATAAAAGATGATAATGCATTAAAAACAGACATAAAAAACGATCACAAAAGGCATGATAAACAAAAAGAATAGTTAGAGATTTTTTTTAAAATTAAAATTAGTAGCACAAACATAAATAAAACAATAATAAAATAATAAAGCTAATTCAAAAAAATTACAAGGGAAAAATGAAACTTATTAAACAAAATGCAATCTAACTCACTATTTCTGCACAACTGTGAAACTGTTGCTTAACACCTTTCACAACTTCAAAGAATAGTTGGCCAACTCCTAAATGTTTCTAAAATTGAATGGAAAAAAATTAAAAACACAGATAATACAAAAGGAAACAGTCTATCAATTTCAAAGAGTTCCATTGGTAATAAAAAAATATAGATTTCTCTCTAAAAGAAAACAAGTTTTAATTTCACCCACCTTATCTCTTTTAGAAAGTGACCTTCTTAAAGTTTTTAAAAACAGTAAATTCAAGCTTTCGATAGTTACATGGTATTTTTTTTAATCAAAAGTATAAACCGTAAAATAATTTAGACTTCAATTAAATATAAATTTATTTTTAATTCGAGAGATTAGTTTATTTTGATTTAAAAAGATGTACTGAAAATTAATCATTCTGGAAAATGGATGATTTGAAATTGCATATTGTAGTGTAATTCATTACTGATCTAATAAAATAATACCCATAATTTAACATGTACAATGGTAGAAGACTATTGAAAATATATTGTAATGAAAAAAAGAAACAAATAACTACTAACCTCAGGACTCTTTTCCAGTTCAGAAAATATAAACAGGAACAACTTTTCTTTATTCTGAACCTGATAACATAAATAAAAAATTCATAAAAACCTTTTAAATTATGAGAGAGGTGGCACAATTAAGAATATAAATGTAATCAAGTACATACATAAAAATTGAAATGCACATTCATTAATATAAAAAAATATTTTAAATATTCACCTTTCTTATTAAGAAAGCAAAACTTTCCACAGCAAAAATTCTTATGTGCTCTTTATTAGTGTCACTCAACAAGGTAGAAAACAGCCTAATGAAATTTAAATTAGTAAAAATCGTGCAAGAATTGTACTAGAAAAAAGTGCTTTTGGGACTCAAAGAAAAATATATATTGCTTACCTGTACACATTTTCAATGTCCTTGATCATGTATTTCCAAAGAAACTTAAACAGGTAGGCTAATGCAGTAAATAACTTTTCAAGTAAGTCAGTGTCATTTGTAGTAAGGTGAAATGTTATGGAGGAGAAGAACTTGGGAAAATATGGATAAAAATCATGTTGAAGGTCTCTAGCCAAAGCTACGACCAACCTAAAAAATATATGTAATTTGGTGAAATTTTGACAGCAAAAATAAGAATTTATGGTTTAACTAATTATCATAAATTCTAATAAAAAAGAATATTAGTTTGGTAACCTTGTTGTTCAGCCTTAAGTAAAATACAGTAAAGCTAATTAAAACTCTATTACCTGAGAAAAAAGAATACAATCAGATAATAGAAGTAAGATAAATTTAAGACGAGCTAAATTAAACACAAGATAAATTTAACACAATAAAAACATTTAAAATCACTACTAGTAAAATCTATACATGCTTCCGTGCCCCAAGGTACACCATCGCCTGAAGAATTAAATTGTATGGACAGCAAACAAGGATGATACAATTTAACAGAGGTTACACCAACAGATAAGATAAACATATTAAGATTATAGATTCTTCTGAATCTTTTACATTTTATAATTTGAGTGAAATAATTAGACATACTATTAGTAAATAGTCAGCAGACATTTAGTTTAAAGTCAGTCTACTCTAGTCTTCGATGCAAAAGATTTAGAAAGTTTCTTTAGTTATAAATAACTTAATGAACACTTTTTCTTAATACAAACAAGTTCTAAAAACTAAGCTTATGAAACAAAATAAACAAGAACTTCCCTGTCAAGCACTACAGCTTACTGATGATGAATAATATAATTGTCTTGAAAGCCATATCATTTTAGTGTTAATAAAAAAATTTAAAATTAATAAACAATATGTAGAAAAATAATTAATTGACAAGAACATTTTTGAATTATCTAAAATCAGAAAAACTTAGATACACAGTAATATGAAAAATGCTTACTCTAAAATAGCATCTAATGCTAAGCTTTCTGTTTTACTCAGATGTTTCAAAAGAATTTCAATTATTTCATCCTAAAAATAAAATAAAAATAATAAGAAAAAAAGTAAGAATAATTCCCACTCTTCAGATAATCTTATCAAAATCAATTTTTACAAAAAATCTATAACCTCAAATATCAAAATATAAATTTCTAAATTGTAATAAAATAATTTTTAAACAAAAAAAAATATTCATATTTTTCTACCTATCACAAAAAATTTATTTTATTGTTACTTAATAAAAATTACCTCAAAAATAGATTTTTAAAGGAAGTAAACTTTTTTTTCAGATATCAGATAATAAAAAATCATTAAAGGATTTTCTTGGCAGTAAAACATTTAAATAAAAATGCTTTTGTTTTACTTGATTATATTTTATATCATTCCCTTCCGCAGAGGATCAAAATTGTGATGGCATGTCTTCGGATCATCCCCCGGGATGTTTCCCAGACCGTCGCCAATAACCCATTGTGCAGCTCTAGTGCGACGTAAAGTAACAACAACATATTTTATACCCCTGCTCAATTTGTAAAAAAAAATTTTTAGCATTAAATAAAAAAATTATGCCAAAAAATCATACAAAAGTAAATTATTTAATTAACAAAATAAATTTTTTTAATTAAAATATTAGTTTGAGCACAAATCTTGTTTCTTTAAATGTTTCACATGATTATGTAATGAATGACAATCTGTGATTTTTTATATTAAGTGATTACCAATCGATATTGTGATGTGTGCTTTTTAAATTACACAAATTCAAATCCCCCAGTGAGATGTATAATCACATAAATGCGGACACCAAATTACGATATTTGGTATTCTATTGTGGATTACTTGGATGAATGCGGATTAAGGGTTTTAACTTTCAAATTGAATAAATACGGATCACAGTGTGTGATTTTTTACACACAAATGTGGATGACAATGTACAAAAATTAAATCATGTAAATAAAAATCATAATGTTAGATATAATATGGCATCAATGCAGATTGCATTATGTTATTTTCAAATCATATGAATACAAATAGCAATTTGTGATTCTTAAATCATGCAAATATAGATTATGATCTGTGTCTTTTAAATTGCACAAATGTGAATCACGTTGCGCAATTTTTAATTCATGTATACACATGTCACAATGTGAGATTTTCAAATCAGACAGATCTATGAACTGGTAGTTTCTACGATTATTTTAGCATTTAGCATTGAAAATATAACAAATTTTAATCAAGGTTGCAATAAATGACTTATAACAATATTCAATAACTTTTCAAGTGTTGTTTTTATAAAAAATGTAAAAAGCAGTATCAAATAAAAAAAGCTTAGTCAAACTAAACTAAAATATTTATAAAAAAAAAAATGGTAAACAAGTCACATAAAACAAAATTTCTTAAAGCAAGAAACAAAATATGAAAAAATTAGTACCATACCTTTCTGAAAACAATTTGTGATAAGGTTTGTATTTCAACACCAATATCTTTACGAAGATTCTCTGAAATAATGAATTTTAGTCGAACAGATTAGAAATTATATATTAAGTTTCATATAAATAGATAGATATATTGTACTAAACACAGGGGTTCAGATTGATTGGAGATGAATAAAATAATCTTTAAGACTCAAAAATTAATTATCAGAAATTTCTAGAAAAAAAAAAGCGATTTCCAGCGCTTTATTAGAGCACAAATATCAGTGCAGCACACAAAATGCAGTCTTTACAATCAGAACACTATTGCAGTTCCAAACACACTAGTGTTCTATTATCTCTCTGCGAGGCACATTAATATTGATATAGACTTGACCATGGAACCCTGGAACTTTTCTCATGATTCTAGACAATTCTTGTATAAATTCATAAACATTAGTCCTATCACATCAGAACTTCATTTGGTCGAGAAACAGAGTTTCCCATAAGAAAATAATGCAGAAATATTAAAAATTCTTGTAATGTTGAGAAAGTCGGAAATTCCGCCCACAGTTGAAAGAATCACAGGTCTGTATGATGACCATTATTCCGTTTTGTTTGCATTTTAACAACTAAATAAACTCTTTACTCAATTCAAATGTGCGTTTTTCATTAAGGTTTTAACAAAAATGAATTTCAATGGAAATATTTTTTTCAAAAATTATCCTAACAAGAAATCCCGGATTGACACATGTTAAATCACCTACAAAAACAATTACAAAAATAAATAAAGGAAAACAAATCACCATAATCTAGGGTAAAGTTTAAATCTATCCATTTTTCAAAAGCTTCTTTGAAAAAAGTATCAGCTTCATCAGGAGTAGAAGATATCTTGCGATAATCATGTATCACATCGATTGTAATACTACTTATTCGTTCAGCAAACGTTTGAAACTGTAAATGAAATAAGACTAATTACGAACAATAAATTAACAAAAATGAAAAAAACTACAGAAAATAACTGCATTAATAATAACTAATTAAATAACTACAGAAATGTGTGACAAACATAAATTGTCAGAATTTTCTTACACGAAAAGTGTTTGAATTTTTGTGCGAAACAGGTTTATCCTTCATTTTGAGTACGTCTTACAATATACTTTTTTTCAAATTAAATGACCAATCATTCTCTGCAATTTTAATAAAAATGCATAATTAAAAATTAAAATCCAAGTCGAGTAAACACGAAAACGTGTTTCACGCAGTTGAAATGAAAACAAATAAAGACCGGATGATGAAAGTTACAGTTAAGGGTGCAACATTTGCGAGCAGGCATAGTTACTAATGAAACTTTTATATTTTATAAGGGAGCATTCTCACTGCATCTCGTTGCCACACTTTCGATCATTATCATGAGACGAAGAAAACCTTAGTGGTGAGTTTTTCTCGGATTGAAATATTTTACCAATCAGATTTCGTAATTCCTCGACAGCAATCGGAGCTGCGTGCATCACATAGTGAAAATACCAGAGTGTCCCTTAAATAGTAGTAGTAATTCTTCATTTAGATTATACTAGAGCTGCACAATGGGCTACTGGCAACGATCTGGGATGGATTCCGGAAGCACATCCCGGAAAGTTATCCAGAAGACATGACATCACAATTTTGATCTTCTGCAAAGGGAATGGCTCACCCGCGTTGGTAGCTTGACGACCTACGAGAAAAGTCGGTAAAGCAGTTTAACGAGAAACGATAGTGGTGCAACTTCAGTCCTTTTGTATTTTCACATTCTGATCATAGTGGTTGCTCAACCACACACTGACCCCAGGCAGTGATGCTTGACTTCGGTAATCCAGTGGGAACCGTATCTTACGATCATTTCGCTGTGGGACTTCATATTTTAAACAGAGACGTCGAAAAAAATTTAACAAAATTTTTTCCACTGCACCTGATTGCGCGTTAGAAACTAAGCATAAAAAATCTAGATATAACGGAACAACCCGAAAAACTTTTGATCTAATCGGATCTTCAATCGCTAAATGTTAATTATTTGAAAACAATTTCTTCTGTTGAAAACAATAACTGGAAAAGGAGATTTAACTTTGAACCGTACAAGATCTATAAACAAACTGATATTAATAAATATATAAAAATAAACAGAATGAATGAGATGACCCACGTTTTTTGAATAAGTGATAAAAATGCAATAAAAAAGATACTGCTTTTTAGACCCACTGGAACAAGAAAGCGGGGAAGGTCGCGGTTGAGATGGACTGATTCGGCGGTGACTGCTTTTCTTCCAATTAATGAAAAGAGTTGGAGATCAAAGATAAATCAGAAGTCGTTATGGAGAAATCTTCGGAGGAAGGCATTGGCCCTCACTGATCTGTCTGTCCCATACCAACTACGAGGATGATGATGATGAAATGTTAATTTTAATTTTTGCGTAGTTTGACGTATTTCGAGAACTTTTTAAGCAAATCGAAATATTTTTGTATAAAATTATCGAATTCATACATCTAAAGAGAAAGAATACCATGTAAAAATATATTGTTTTATAATTAAGGCATTAATCTTTATTATTTTATTTAATGATAATCGAAAAAAAAAATTGAAATGCATGGTACATAAATTTTAATTTTAAAGAATGTAATTTTCTTAAAATTTGAATTAAAGCGATAAAATAGTTCCTATGAACTAACATTTTAAGTGCACGACTTTTTTAAAATTTAATAGCTCGGAAACTATTCGGCCAATTATAATTTCTTTTTCTGTCAAAAGGGAATTAACAGATGAGAAAGCAGTGGGACAACCAGAAAATTTGTATGAATGCTAAAATTATTATTTTAATATAAATAAATTTTCGAATACAGTTTTCTGCAATAGTTATCTGGAACTAACAATTAACTATGAACGGTGATTTCAACAAAGAAATAATTCTAAGCAAATGCACAGAAACACAAAAATGTTTCGCTCACCATGTTATCACAAATTTATAATTACTTATCCCACAAGGCTATATTTTTAAACACTTGGTTTTGTTTTTGTTGAAACAGAGAAGCAAAAAAGTGATTCGAATTAAATTTTTTAAACATTCATAAGATATTTATTCAATCATTTTATTCAAGTAAATATTAAGGCATTATCGTATTAATTTAGATTCAGATTTTTAAATAGATAGTATTTTTAAACAATAATATAATTATTCTATATGGCAGAAGCGAATAGACTCTCAAAGAATAATACACATAAATAAGGGAGAAATGAAAAAGTTAAATACAATAAACAAGTTCTATTTGGCATTGGGGAACATGATAAGCAAAATACTTTTGAAATTCTTATACATGCTATAAAGAAACAGATTAAATTGATCACTTTGAAATTTATAAATTTTTAAAAAAAGTCAACAAATCAATAGTTTTTGACCTAGAGTTCCTTTACCTAAACAAAATGTAAATGGAGTTACTGCATAGAAATGACAGCCTGAGTTTGACTGAAGGCTAGGCAACGAAAGTTTATTGAACAAAACAAAATGAACAGAACAATATTTTTTCGCAAGGTGTCTATGGGCACATGAACAAAGTGTCTCTATTCAGATATATATGTAATCGTTTTTTTTTTTGTCTTTAAAATATAATCTCATTATAATCAAAGTATCTAATCGATGGAGAATAAGTTTTAAATGTCAATATTTGTTGTGAATTAAATAGCTTTTGGAAACTAAATTAATTATGCTTGAGACAATTTTATTTATATTATTTTATATGCTAAAAATTAGCTACCCTTTTTTTTTTTTTATAAAAGTTACTAGTTAAGCAAATTACCAATTATATTTTAACATTAAAAATTTTACGTTTTTGCAATAATTTCTTTGCGTGTTTGAGTAAATAAATTAGATACTTTTATCGAATGTTTTTCTCTATTTTTATAAAGATGTTCATTCCTTTTAGTTTTTTCCTTACTCGATTAGTGTATAAATAATAATAAATAAAAAAATCTAACTGCAACTAAGAAATTTGTAGTTAGATTTTAACGAGATGAAAGGAAACAAGGTTAAAGAGGAGCTTTGCTAAGTCCAGTAACTGACTTCACTTTACTTCTCTGCACTATTCTAAACAATTTTGAAGTTGCTCGTCATAATACACAACGGGCAAAGAGAAGAGCTTTTTGACTTTTTCGTTCTCTATGTAAATATTTTCAACTTTTGTTGATATGCAGAACCTGGAAAAGGTTCCAAAGTGACGAGAAAAGGGGTTCATTCTGTTATGCAACGATTCCTTATTTAAGAAGAAGAAACACTTTTGAAAACCTATATTTGTTTAGATTTGGAGCAAAGTTGCAGTACATATTTGCGTTTTGGCCATGGTTGGGGAACTAAATAAAAGCAATTACAAGATTCTAAAAACCGGAAGAAACGTTTTAAAACTTCTGGTGCATATCTCCACTGATGTTATGTCTACGAGGCAAAGTTTAACAGGCCTGATATTTAAGGAGGTTTATATGAACTTCTCCGATTTACATAAGCTTGAAACTTCAAACTTGATGCAAAAACAATGTCAATTAAAATTAACAAAAGGATAGGTCCAAAAGGCATGTTAGTGGAACACCTATATTAAAAGCCTTATTGTAAAGAAGTTGACCACTTCGTTTTATATAAACTTTTCCGATTTATATAAGCTTGAAACTTCAAACTTGTTGTAGAAACAGTGTCAATTAAAATCAACGAAAGGATGTTTGTAGAACACCTATATCAAAAGCCTTATTGTAAAGAAGTTAGCCACTTCGTTTTATATAAACTTTTCCGATTTATATAAGCTTGAAACTTCAAACTTGATGTGAAAACAGTGTCAATTAAAATCAACAAAAGGATGTTTGTGGAACACTTATATTAAAAGCCTTATTGTAAAGAAGTTGACCACTTCGTTTTATATAAACTTTTCCGAGTTATATAAACTTATCCGATTTATATAAGCTTTATATTTTCCATAAAGCTGAAGAGCAACCTTCTCAGGTTCCTTGGAAGTTTTAAATTACGGATTTCGGTTTTTAAAAGATCCTCATCGCAATATTAAATGCATTTTCGATATTCTGGTGACCCTTATAGTATGCTTCCCAGATAGATTTGCTTGGTTAGTGAAATTAACCACAGTCTTTAAAACTCTACTCGATCTAAAGTCAAATAGATTGCCGTATTACAAATTATACTGTTCCAATTGATAAGTCTGTCGGTTGTTTAATTCTTCTTCTTCTTGTCGTTTGTTTATCTGAAACTTTCCCCAGACCGGGAGGAATAATATAGGTCTATATGACTCTGGTTTAGTTAGGTCCATATTTGGCTTATTTATAAAGGTGATCCTGGTTATTTTTCAACAATTAGGGAAGGACCCCAGTTGAAGGTACTTAGCTAAAAGAAAAAAAAATTAGCTAAAAGAAAACCTAAACTCTAGCTTTATAAAAATATAATTATATTTTTTGACGCGTCGTCAACGATGAATAAAGATTTCGAAATTTTGAAGTAATTTATTTCAAAATAAAGTAATAATAATTAAAAAATCAATTGTTATTATTATTGATGTGAAAATTTAATATAGATATTTGAAAAAAAAAACAGGTACTTCTTCTCCCCATATTAAAAAATCATAACAGCCATCGTTGTTTTGGGTGCTAACCTTTACGTTACAATTTGTTTTGCTGCTTAAAAACTATAAAATGTAGAAATTTGAATTTACGAAAGCGTGTTGAAAAATGTGCAGGGAGTATGAAGGGATAAAAACAATTAACATTCATTAAATAGTTCTAAATTAGGTCAAACTTTTGACTGCTCGCCTGATCAAACTATTGAGACCATATTCCCTGGATTATATCTACCCCAACCCCCTCGTATTTGGAGAGTCAGGAATCCAAATCCATCAACTATAAAAAATGTATGTATATAGAGAGATTATGATTTTCAGTCTGATTTCATAATTTAAAATATTGTATGCACCAATTAATTAGCATTTTAGAGGTCCCCCCTTTAAAACCATTAAGATTGAGTTCTAAAACGTGAAGATCCGATCATTAGATCAAAAGTTATTCAGGGTGATCTGTTTATTTATTTATTTATTTTGCGCGCTGAACAGCAAATTTAGAAGTATCAATACTAAAGAGGTGCAGTTTAATATAGTAAGAATATAATTTTGGCCATAAACATATGCACATGAATAAGCACAAAATATTACTGAATAACAATAAAGCAAGAAATGGAAAGTTAATCAGCGAACTGGAGATAGATATGATTTATAATATAAATGGGGCCAGT